ATATTTTTGGAGAATAACTAGAACCGTCTCCACTTGGTATCCTCTGAGTAACGCTAAATGGTTCAAATTTTTTTTTTAATAGTGTAATTCGGTAGAAAAATATTTTTAAAAGAGTGTACAATTAGGGGAATTCACTATTTAATTTTTTAGGGGAGTTTACATTTGTCCGATTAAATACACACTCGGAACAGGAGTATAATAAATTTAAAAAAATAACCGTGACCAGGAATAACGGTCATTTAATATATACCTGAAAGTATACACTGAAGTTAACATGTATAATGTGACACTAAGAAAGAGAAAGACAATATGCGATTTTTTCATGGTGAACAAAATATTAAGGTTTTTTTATTCGCGACAATTAAGTAAAAATATTGGACATCATAGATTCAACTATTAATATAAAAGAGCTGGTACTGCTGATGGGTGCGCCAATGTTGTAGGTGAAAAGTGGCATAACAAATTAATAAATGACCTCTTTAATTCACCAACTAGATCCGAAATGTAACAAAAAGATCTCTTGTCATTTTTAAATTTCAGCAAGTTCTCAGTTCGAAAAGTTTACAGGTAGAAAAAAAAACACGCGCAAATTATTGTTTATTATTAATAATGTATTCATTTTAGAACACGAAAACGTAGTATTTGAGAAATGTAGATACAGTTCAAAAAAATACTGAAATACGCCTTACCGGTACAACCGATTTATAATTCCATCATTGGGCCGCATAAAAATCGCGCGGGAACAACCGTAAATATATAGACGAAAATAAAACTGACAAAAAACCTATGGGAAAGGAAGGGAAATCCATACACGGGCATATAATTTATTACGATGGGATCACATATCGACAGACACAACACGTGTACCTGTCCGTAAAATATTAAAAATCTTAGCACCAGATTGCCCTTTGCCGACCAGAAGCAATCTCCCTTAATATTTTGAATACCATGTTTGTTTATCTCGCTGGGCCTTCTGTTTTACCGCGTCTGCTTTTCACGCGCGTAAAACAAGGTATACCTAGTAATAGTATTACAATATCATGGTTTTGTCTGGAATGGTGGTAAAGAGTGTGCAGATGAGGGGTAAGTTGCTTCCCTGGATACTCATAAGTCATAACCTTTTTCAAACCACCCGGTTCTATTGAAAGTGGTAACATGAAATTTTACTAATTTTTTCTCCCATCTCGTCCGATCCTAATATATTATTTTCTCACATGAAGTAATTCACGTCGTCGTCATCCACTGAAACGTTACTGCTACCTATTATAATATTATAGTAGTTTAATAGTAATTATTATTTTATCAATTAACAATTGCCTATTGGGTAAAAATTTACGTATTCAACAAACAGATCTACAAAAACGCAATATTTACTGCGTATTAAAATTATCCTTATACAGTTATCTATACTTGGTATCAGTTGCAACCATATATGTTGATACTTAATACCTAATATCACATCTCCTCCCCTATTATTTGTCAAATGTAAATCATCGACATTGTCATTGGCTGATTGGCATCTATAATTCTAAGGGGTCCATAACAGTAAAATAATAATATTGCAGATAAAACATAAACGAATTTCAATCATACGATACCAGAAATAATTTCGCTTTGAATTTTTGCTATCACTAATTCCCTTCACAACTCCCGGTCATAGACTCAATTACGGTACAATAACACACTGTATAACTAATTCAAACCAATCAGCTATAATCAGTCTGTACATTCACGAACATAAATGTGCCATAACCTTAAATGGCATGACCACATAAAACAGACAACAATATTTAAGAAAAGTAATATATACTTTCAAGTTTCAACAATAAATTTAGTTAATTTACTTGAAATTAAGAAAATTAGAATTGTATACCGAGCTAATATAGTAGAATATGGTTGACTATGGTATTACTATTTGGGGAGGTACCTACGATACAACACTTAATCCATTAAAAATAATAGAAATTATTTTTAAAAACAATCATTCGCATTGCATAGAATATCTATACATACAATTAAATGTTCAATTATTGTTCTATAAGGCATCAATGATTTATATAATTAAAATTAACCTAACATCTAGTATTGGACAAAGTTATAACACAAGACAGTTATCAAATATTACTGTCCCTTGAATTATACAGAAAACTAACTCAATATACTTACTTATATTTAGGACCAGAAATAAATAAAATGCTACCATTAGACATCAAAACAACTCTATGATTTGATACTTTAAAAAAAAAAAAAATAACTAACTGGCTGCAGAATGAACCAAATAGAAAACTTTAAATATTTGTATACCTTAATCTAGTTGCTTAGATTTGTATATTAGCATACTGTATTATACTTAATATCTGCATGTGTTAATTATTGTTACATACATTGTATATGTTTAAGTTGGTTGCGTGTAATAAGTCTAAAATTTGTAAAAAAAAAAAAAAGTTGTAAGTTATTATTATGAATGTATTATTTTCCTTATTATAAATTGTGAACTCATGGGACCCCACACGAACCTGTTCATTGGGGCCCATTATCCTTATGAAAAAGTAATCAATAATTCTAGTAAATCTTAATATAATATTGAACTTCGGTTGTTTTCTCCGTGAACATTTGATAAGAAAAATAACAATAAAATAATAATATTTCAGATAAAACATAAACGAATTTCAAATATACGATACCAGAAATAATTTCACTTTTAATTTTTGTGTTGTTATTATTAGGGCCACGTGATATTTTTGCCGTGGTTATTAATGATTAACAATAAAAGTGTTTGGCTTACAAATCATCTGATGTTGTGTTCGTGTAAATAATTTTTTAATTATCTGTAGACAATTTTGGCAAAACGCTCGAATGAACCGTCAAGTATAAATTTCTTTCGGTCGTGGCATTTGCAACTGTCCGAGTACCTATAATAATATTTATCACCCAAACAACATAATAACATCTATATATGATTCGACTAGGTTTTTCGAAACAATAATCGAGAGCTTCTTACGTTTTACCTACTTGCTAATACGAAATTAAATGTTTGTTTATTAATATTTTGATCGTTTTGAAATCGTTCAACAAAACAAAATTGTACTATTACATAATAATATTATGACGGTCCTATTAAACGCTCCATACACGAGGTGGATAGACAATTCACCTACGCATACGCAGTAATGTACAATTTGTTGCCTATACTTATAGTGGGCGAATATGGGACGCTTTTTCATTTGGAACAGAAAATACTGAGTATACCGACAAAGACGCGCGGTAAATTAATATTGACTTTTGATTATTATAAACGAAAAATATGTTAAGTCAATGTTCAGGTGGCTTACATGTTGATTGCATATTTATTAAAAACATTTAAATTAATAAAATAAATTTAATGACAGTATTTCTAATAATAATTCAAAGATAAATAAGGAGAATACTAGCCGTTTAAATTTTATTAAACAAACCCAGATAGTTGGTATTCCAGTTTGAGTTATAAAAATGAAGATACTATTTTTGATATTTTCAATTCTAAAATAAAAGAATTTTATTTATTATTCATTCATTTTCGTAAATAAGTACAAATCTGAAAAAAAAATTATAGTCAAATTATAAGAGTAGATTTTAACTTTATTAGAAATAGGAAAACATTATTCATTAAATTAAGATCAATGACCTTTGATTTGCGGTTCAAAAGATCCTATAACCAGTATAGAAATATGTTAAATTTGTTATTAAGGAAAACAAAACTATTACATTACCAATATAAAATTCCGAAATGCTTAGTCTGATACTAAACAAATTTGGAATATCATTAATGAGTTCTTAGGTTAATCAAACCTAATAAGGACGGTGTAAATACTGAATCACAAATAAAAATGTGTGATGAAATAATTGAATTTATTTATTAATGTTGGGAATAACTTAAAAATAGAACTTATACATCAATATATAGATCAGTAAAGAATATTAAAAATTCTAATTATTTTTATGAAAATGACACACTACATACTTTAAAAACAAATAAAAAACAAAAAAAAAAACAAACAATTTTTGATTTTTAGGTATGCAAGCCGTGCGCAATAGGTACCATTTTAATTTTTTTTTTTTTTTGCACGCCGTGTTTTTAAGGTTACTTTCTATTTTTTCGTTATGCGTGCCGTGCGCCTAAGGTACATTTTTTTTTGCTTATGCGCACCGTACGCCTAAAGTACTTTCATATTTTCTATCGTGTGCGTTGTGCGACCAAGGTACCTTTTTAATTTTTGATTATGCCCGCCAAGCGCCTAAAGTAACTTTTTGTGTTTGGTAATACGCACCGTGCGCTTAAAGTGCCTTTATTTTTACTTAGGCGCACTGTGCGCCTAAGATACTTTTCTGTTTTTAGTTGTACGTGCCGTACGCCGAAAATACATCTTTTTTTTTTTTTTTTTCTGTTTGTGCGCGTAATGTACCTTGTTTAATTTTCTATTTTTCGTCTTGAACGCTGTGCATCCGAGGATCATTTTTTATTTTTGGTTATGCACTTGTGCGTCTAAGTTACCTTTTCTATGTGTTTTTACTCTAAAGGAGAAGACAAAAATCACGAAAACTGTATGTGTTTGATTTCATATCTAGTGAGTGCATAGTAAAGAGGAAAAAATTAAAAAACTTAAAACGGACTTTAAGTGCAGATCCAGAATCTTCTTTACGTCTCCAACATTTGAGTTCCGGTTATAAAGTGGCAACATATTTTTAAATTACTTACAAAGTTAGACGCTTTTACAAACCCTGAGCTACTGCCTTTTTTCAGTTGGCAGTTGGTTCTTATCGTACATTTGTGTTTCTTAAGTGACTATCGAACGCCTTAATTACCATTTTTGACTCAGTTATCATTTATTAATTATAACTAACGGAATTATATATGTGATCAAACCAGGTTTACTAGATGTACCATTATTATACCATTTTTTTACACGCTGTACCATATACCATAATTAAAATCTCACAGAAAAACAAGTAGTTATGTTTCTATCGAACGATGGGGTATATTAATTCCATAAGTCACTTAGTTTATAGATCTATGATTAAACCAATTTTTTTTTATAGTGTTGGCAACCGTAGTACATTGCATGTTTGTGAAATTGACGTTATCACTATCACTTTGCAATGTTAGATCCACGGTTATATCTTTAACCAGTTTAACCGTGATTAGATCGTACTATCATATTGCATGTGTTTATTGTTTTAAAAAGTTAAATTTTAATTTGTTTATATTTGTTATTTGTCGCACCACCGTTGAACGCTAGACGACTGTCGAGTGAAACTATTAAAACATTTAAAACTGGTTAACAACAGTGAATAATTATAATATTGGTATTTTGGTTTTTATCATTACGATTTGGAAACGTTTGGTTCAACAAAGGCGCGATATAGGTTTGTATAAACGGTGAGGGAGCAGACACTCCTGAAAGCAGTCGTCAAACCAAAATTTTCGGGAAGTTTGCCTTCAAATCGGAATCGATCAGGTTATACCCCAAACGAATGTAATAAAAGTGCAGTGCTGACCATTTAACACGTTCATCACGATGTTTTCTATAAAACAACTGTTCTCTTGTGTGTTTGCCACTGAATAGGAAAAAAACGAATTGACGATAAAATTGTGTTCTAACAAACGCAGTTTGTTTATATTAAACCAAATTGTATTCTTGAAATACAAAATAACTGATATCTGTTCATACATAATACGTTCGTTGAGTTGTGTTGAGTATACAACGTAACCCAGTAAAAAATTGCAAGTTGGAGTAAGTTTCTGTATCTCATACCTATCAATTGGTATATTCACACAAAATATGAATTTCGATATACTTCAAGGTAGTTAAACTGTGGTCTTGTAATTTTTTCTGTATCAGTAGACAATTCTTAAATTGTGTTTTTGTTTTTTTTTCCCCCAGGAATTCGTGAAATAATACATGGCTTAGGCGAGAGAAGACCACGCGTGGATTCAGTAAAGTTAATACAATCAATACTTGTCAAACAAATGGTACTGTTCATTTCTAAAACACTACAAGTTGCACTTGAATTTAAACATCGGAAAGTATCAATGACACATGTAATATATGTTTTGCAAAACCATAAGTACACTCTCATTCGTATCTTAACATATTACTGTGAGCAAATATAGAAACTATAAATACATAATTATATAAAATATTAAAATAACTATTCAATATTCACAGTGATGAAAGAGAATATCTATAAGATCAGTGTAGCTTCTGAAGTGGAAGGAAATGAAGTCTATGGAGATAATGTTATAAACAAATCAACATTGTCAGTTGATAAAGATTTGGTTGAGGCTGTATTAAATTTTAATAAAAAAAATGAAATAATGGAATTAAGTATGTATTAAACATAATAATTTAAACATATATTAATAATTGTCAATAAATGAAAAACTTTTTTTTAGAATTATTTAACACTAAAGACAATCAAATCAAATTTCTTAGAATAATAGCTTAAAATTTAAATTTCTAAACATCTAACTTAATTAAGTAATCTTTGTACTCTAAACTACATTTTTTTTTTTTTTCAATCATTTTTAGTTTATTTAAACGTATAATATTGTTTATCTTGTTAATGTATTGTACTGAAGACTGTAACATTGTTACTGAATTAAAAGATAATTTTTTGTGGATATGGGGTTTTATTTATTTATTTGTGTAAATAAATTATTTGAATAACTTGTACTTTTCAAACATTAATAATTATCAATTAGTATTTAATGTATTTTTTTTTCACATTCATTAAAATAATTTATTTTTGAGTCATAATATTATTAAGTGTAATTTTCAAATAATTACCTATCTAATAGTTACCTATATTATTTTAAAGATTTTTAAAAAATATATTGAAAATGACAGCGTAATCATTAATCATGAAAAATTCATATTTCTAGATCCAATCAATGTATTCACATCAACTTATTTTAAAACAAAGTTTGTATCAAAGGGTCGTGGTAAAAGAAAAAGTGTTTATAAGATGATTGTAAATGCAATAGTGGCTTTAAAATTAGATATCAATATAACCAATGAAGATTTAAGAATTGCTACAGAAGCTCGTAAATTGAGAGTTAATGAACTATCAATTGCATTGTCATCCCAGTATGTCAAATGTTTATTAATTATTAAGTGATTATTCTTGTATAGTATATTTAATTGCTTTCGTAATTTCAGTGGTTATGAAGGTTTCCAGTTATGCAGGAGAAAGAATTTTCATAATACAAAAATAGGAATTGCACTATTTGAAGAAGTAAATAGAGCACTGCCATCGAATATACATTATTCAAAAGATATCAAAGAAATATTTATGTTCTTAGCAAAAGTAAAATATAACTTTAATCAGAGTCATTATTGTTAATTTTTAAATTTAAATTAATTCTGAAATATGTGTTCATTAAAAGGAAACTATAGCTTGCCTGTTTGACCATATTTGTGAAAACAGAAAACTTAAAAACAGTAGTCCTTTTCTAGATACCATGCCAACGAATCCCGAATCTAAAGTAATACAAATAAATGTTAATGTTATTTAAGTTTTGGTTTATCATATTTTTATTTTATTGTTATTTAGAAGAATAAGTTTGAATCTATACGTGTTGATGAAATAACAGCCGTTACATCAAGCATTTGGGATCAATCTCTGGAGAACATCCAAATTCCTTTTAAAATCAATAATAAATTATTGAACAATAAATTGATTTTAGATTAGTAATAGTATTAAAACTTTGTATGTTGGAGTATTTGTAGTAGCAAGTTCACAATGTATGTCAAGAATTAAATTTAAAAATACTAGCAAAAGTAAAATTTTTGATTGTATATTTCATGCAAGACAGTGTAATGCAATTTATTATTATTACTTTTATTATATTTTGATTTGTATGCTTTAGATAATATCACTGATTGTGTTCAAATTTTGATTAAAACTAATGTATTATTAAATTTAATTTTCAATGTTAATAATATTAATCCAAGCCAATATAGTATTTGTGCATAAAATTCCAATGATTTGATTTAATTTTGATATGTATGTAAAATAAACTGTACCAATGTTTTTGAAAAAAACCATTGACTTATTTTACACTATATCTCAATGTTTGATTTGTTAATTTTTTACTCAATGTAATAGCAATACTGAAATAATAATTCAACTATTGATAAGACCCACGTGCGATGTATGTCAGTCTTTTGTAACAATAAATATTGAAATCAATATTTTAGATTCTGAGGGGAAAGAAAAAGCCTATGGTTTTACAAAAAAAAAAAATTTCTTCAATTTTTAAGTGTAGCATCTTTCCTGAAAGGAAATCTATGTGAAGTGGTAAATAATTTAGGAATGTTTTTTCGATTTTCTCATCAAATGTGAAAACCCAAAAAGGAACTGGAAAATGTAAGAAATATATCAATTTTTTTTTCTGTACACAACTTCTACCATCAATTTTGCTCCAATTTTTAATAATAGCTGTTTTTCTAAAAGGGAATCCGACTGGGGAGGTACTATAGAGAAGTAATTTTTCGATTTTCTCAACAAATTTGATAACTGAAAATACAGGAAAATTTAAGAAATGTAGGTATTAATGAAAATATATAAACATTTTTTTTTTTTACCAGCAATTTCATTCCAACTTATAATGATAGCAATGTTTCTAAAAGAAGATTTCACTATGGAGGTTGGTACTTTAGAGAAGTCTTGTTTTCAATTTTCTCAACAAATATGAATAACCAAAAAAACGTAGGAAAAACGGGATCCATTTTAATTTTACTATAATATGACATGTAATGTTGACAAAGCATCACTATCAACTGAACTCCGCTCAGAACCGTTTTTTCGTAAACAATGGTTTATCGTTGCTTATAGATGTATATTAAATTATCTTTAATAGTGGCTGCACCCGTCCCCATTAACCAATTTTTTTTTTACCATTCGTTTTGATCCACAATGAAAAAATTACTTAAATTAATAAAGTAATTCTAATGGACGATGGCCGATTAAATCAAAAAAAAATGTTTCAAACTTTTTTGTTGACTTTTTATTTTTGAAAACAATATGAGTACCAGCTACCTAGACTTAAATGATAAAGAAGATAAAACACGAATGTAATTTCAAATGACGGTATGACACAAACAATAAACATAAATACACGTTACTTGACCCCGATAAAAGTCTGTACTTTTAGGGTCTAGAGAAATGTTGCCGCGTACCGTTCATGTATCACGGATACAAGTATCCTTGAATACGTAATTAAAATAATTTAGGGTGCCTTAATCACAGACACGAACTACTATAAATAATCATCTATAGTATTTGCTAAGATATACGCATGTGGAAATCGAATCACTGATCAAAGAAAAGATTTTAGGGTGCCTGGAAACTTATTTTAAAAATGGAAAAGTTTAGTAGTGGAGAACACGGTACTTTATGTCCGTGGCGGGGAACATACTAATCTATAATGATAAACGATTAGACCGCGACCAGAACGATTCTCGTGCGTTTGCCGTTTTGTAACATTTTATTCATCCGGTGTGTCGTTGAGCGAATACTTTACATTTCGTACGGGTAGTCTGCGACAAAACGGGACGGAAACCAAACGCTGCGTCCATAGTCGGTAAGAACACCCGACCACGGTGATTCACCCAAGTTCCTGCCACGGTTATAGATATTACTATGGTCAATAATGTACAGCTATGGCCGCGGTCGGCAAACCAAGACAATTAGAACCGCGATTGAAACACACAAGTCGAGCATTTTTGATGTGAAAAAGAAGAAAAAAAATAACGACGGCATAAAGGCGCAGTCTCGTTATCATTTTCCTAGTTTAAATTTTTCAATTTAATTTTAACAATCAACCAACAAAACCAAGTGGCTACACACAAACAATAATTTGTTATACTGTTATATGTATTATGTTTTCGTATAATTTTCGAAACGTTTGCGCTACTTATAGACAATTATAATTCTGCTGGTTGGTGCTGCGCGTGACATTTATACGGTAGCCACTATGTGGATAAAAACCGTCGGGCCGACCGCCACCGAGCAGGCCTTTTGAAACGTGGCACGACCCAACTCCGCTCAGAATAGTTTTTCGTCAGCAACGGTCGACCGTTACACACGTGTTCCCCATAAATTCGCCACTGCGTCCTACCGTCCGGACGTCTAGCCCACAACAGTGGCGGGCGGCCCATTACGCACCGTTCGCGATCGGTAGACCGGTCTTTTTGCCCGGTCGGGCGTTCCTCTAACTTGACGACGACCGGCGACCACAGTGGCACGGTCTTGATCTTGGCCCGTGACCCCCCGTCGACCGCAGACACACAAAACCGCGATTCACACGGTATACCTCAAGGTTAAACCGGGTATACCAACGACACCGCGTATATTGACAATACATTTATTATCCTTATCTATAATAAACGTATTATCTACGTCCGGGCCGTAGAATGATATTTTTATTATTTTTTTTTTTTAATATTTTTAAGCCGTGGATAATAGCAATAGTGATGTTACCGTACGATCCGTGCAGACACCCCCCCAATTCTGTCTACGTGCTCCGTGCCCGCAGGCTTGGAGATTCTGCGGTTCCGCGATTATAATATTATCATTTAAAAATGATAAGGTGATAATATTTTTTTTAATAGTTATCAAAATATCATTAGTTTTCATAATTTCGCTACATTTTTAAAAATTATATTTAACACTCACCACTCGAATCAAACGGTTCCAAAATATTGTTTTTCAATTACATTTTATTATCTGCAGTACAAACAAATTTATAATCGATATTAATTATTACAATAATTGTTTTTTAGTGAACAGAAATATAGTCTATCCAGATGTTAGGGTGTAAGTATCGTCTTTAACATTTATATGAACTTTTTTTTTTTTCTAAACTTGCACAACAATTTTTAGTTAGTAGCTTATATAGACTCTACACTAATAAGTAAATGTATTCATATTGTGGGCATTTCCATGGTTTTTTATGAGGCATATTGGAAATCAAATTAGTTAGATAACGCTGAAAAAAAAAATATTTATAACAAAAATGAATTGTGGTTAGATCCTGCATAATATTATTAACTAAAAACCGGCATTTAAATAGAAAAAATATAAATTCATTTGTTTCAAATTTGTCATTGATAAATACATATTTTTAAAATACTATAATTTCAAATATTATTAGGTATAGGTAGGTGTTTTTTTATAATATCCAGTGAATATTTCAACCACAAAGTTTACACAGCTATGTAATATTATGTGAAATACATATGACAATTTCTTGATTTAAACTGTATGTTATTTAAATTTAAATTAAAAACCCCAAATCTATAAAAAAAAAAAAGAAAAAGGTAAGTACACAAATGGTCTTTGATTTTCACGCTTATGAGCAAACAACAACTGTTGATTCTTTTTTTGCACTTTAGAAACATATTGTTTATTAACATTAAATTAAATATTTTAAATTATATTACAAGATAAAAATATAATCAATGATTCAACCTACTTGAACCTATTATAAATATTAATGGCAGGAGAATAAAAACTTGTGGTTAGCCGATATGACTTTTTCCCAATATCTGATATTTTCATATTAACTACTGATTTAAATCCTATTTTTTTAACCACTCATTTCATATTCAAGAAGATGTATAGATGTTTTTATCCCGAAAATATTAGGTCAAATATCAGTTTTGAAAAAAATCAGTTATTTAATATTCTCATTGTTAATATAACGATAACAGCTTATGCCAATACTCACCAATAATAAAAACCTTTGTAGAAATTAATAATATACACACATTTTTTAAGTTCATACCTATTATTAATAATAAAATATATAATTCAATCTGAGTTGAATGTTAACAGAATACATATTCTGTTAAAAATAAGCAAAACTTACCAATATCATCTACACTTACTTGCATATAATGTAATAGGTACATTCATATTATCATGATATTAAAACAATTAAAATTGTCTGAAAAATAATTATTATTTCATTTACTAATTGTAATACATTTCAAGAAAATATATGATTTGTGTACATTTGGAATATATTAGTTTTACAATGATGTTTTTTTTTTCTTTGAGAGAAATTTTTACCAGAAATCTTACTCCAATTTTCAAGTGTAGCATCTTTACTGAAAGGAAATTTGATCATGTTAGTACCTAATTTATTACAAATAGGTCATTTTTTAATTTTCTAGAGGGTTTTCCTAATAATTACGGAAAAACTGGAAAATGTACGAAATGTATATTCAATTTTGGTTTTTTTGTTGTGATTCAGTTTAAAATATTTGTTGAAACTCAAAATTAATAATAAAAACTTATATTTGACTTTTCTAGACGTGGTAAAATTGTCAAAATATTTCAGCTATTTATAGATATTTTAATTTTGTTAGTTTTTACTTAATTTTTATTCAGTAGATATTCTGTGGATAAAATTATTACATCAAACAAAAATACTTAAAAATTTAAAAGCGGGTTCGTTTTAGGTAGTATTTTGTGGTAAAAAAAAAAAAAAAACTAGTGTAATGAGGAATATTTTCCTAAGGATATTAATAATTTAAAATTAATATCAAATGTTGATGAAAATTGTAAATATTACAGTCTTTCTAAACATGTATAACTGAACTCCATTCAGTATCGAAATCAAATTGTTATCCAATAAAAAATAAATATTAATTTATTTGTATTCAAAATAAATTATTATTTAATTAGATACATTAAATTATTATAATTTAAATGATTATTATTAATACTAGTCATAGATTTAATATTACAACTATTTTACTTAAATGATAAACATTTTTATATTTAATATTAATAGATAATCCAACAAAAACTATAATAAACATAAACAAATGTATATATTATTATTTAATTATTTATAACAGTTTAAATGTTACTAATGTACATGTATATGTTTAGAAAACAAAACATTATAAAACCTATTAAAAAATAATAAATAGATAATACTTTCAGTATTTTTTTTTCGTGGTCATATTTTAGATATATAATATTTAACAGTTATGACTTGTTGGTATAAACCATGAAAAATTAATTTTCTTAAAAAAAAAAAATTGTACAGTTAGATCTTTGATCTAATATTTTTCTTTTGATTTGCTGCTATTAATATTCATTTTTCTAAACCTTAAAGCAGTTGTTAAAATAGTGAAAATATTATTTACTTATTGTTATTTGACAAATTATTTATAGTTAGATATCATTTTGTGAGGAGATTCTTCAGAAGAATTATGAAGCCAATGACTGTCGAAGAAGCTCAAGCCAAAAAGCTGTTCCTCTCAAAAGCATATTTTAGTATTAGTATACTTGCGTTTTGTACTGTATTGTACCAAGTGAAACAAGGTCGTCTGAATTGGTTAGAATCTGAAGAATTAATACCGGACGAGGAAGTGAAAATATCCCCGGGTAAGTTGCAATATTCTATTATTGTCAACCAAAAATAATCATAGTTAAATGCTAATAAATAAATTTTTTGCTAGCATTCCAATATGCCAGAATGTTAAATATTCCAAAGGCAACCATTGTCAGAATGAAAGGTGCAGAAGTTTTAAATTCTAAAGATTACAACAAAGAAACATTCAATTTATCTGAACACATACAAGAAGAAGAAAGTTCTCCAGTAGACCCCCATAACAAATTTATCAGAATATAAAAAACATGTATTATACACATAATATTATCTAGTCTGTATAAAATATTGTAAGTTGTTTAAAACTCAATACACTAGCCACATACAAAGCCTCAGCTTAATAGTCTTTAGTCAATTGATTATACTTGACTTCTTTTGAAGTTTTTGTAACCGTTTTGCACTGATAAAGGTGTTGGGGGTTGTTCTTCCCATCGTGACGCAGTGTGTAGTACATAGCCAGGATCATTAGGAGATTTAGGCTCCTCCATATTAGCCCCAAAGTAGAATCTGCTTTTAACAGATTTTTGTAACGAATCGTTCACTCTTTCTACAGGCGATTTTAATAACAGGTCAGCAGGCCTCGTCGATCTTTTTTTATCAGACATGATGTATGGCACTCTTGTGTTTGACACTTCATGTTCATTTTCCTCCTTTGGACTTTCCTGTTGATGGTGGTGCACAGTGCTTGTAATACTAGGAGATTGCAGTTTGGTTCCATTTTTAATATTTACAAATCTACAAAAAAAAAAAAAAAAAAAAAAAACAACTGTAAAATAAAATTTAAAAAGGATTGATATTAGGGATGGGTGTGCCACTGTTGTATGTGGAAAGGTTAAATACATACGTTATTATTATGTGTTTAACCAAACTTCTCTAAGAATTATCGGAAGCAATGGTTTATCGTTATTTATTTTTTAACATATATTACATATATAAATTAAATAACTATGTATCCAACTTTTCCAGCTTTCCACCTACAATAGTAGCACACCCATCTCCAGTATCAGCTCTTTTGTTTGTGTTGACCACCAAGTTAAACTTATTTAATGGACATTGTAATCAATTTTCAAGTATTTCTATTTGACCTAACAATTTTGTACATATAAAACCAAATAAAAACACCGTTACAAAATACCTATAAATTGCTCTATAATGAACTTGAGTACTTGGCCGATTATAAGGGTTTAAAAACCCCTATAATTGCCCCTTATCCTTTTTTTTCTCACATTATGTATTTATTTAGGTACCTATTTATATAATATTTATTCATTGATTGATTATTTATTATTTTAGATTCTAAACAGAGCATGGAATGTATTGGTTTCTTTTTTTTATCTGTGACAACTTTTCTACCAGCAATTTTGTTCTTATTTACAATAATAACACATTTTCTGGAAGAAAATCTAACTGTGATGGTACTTAAGGAAGTCAGTTTCTAATTTTCCTATTTGTTTTCATAATAAATGGGGAAAACCAGAAAAAAAACTTGACAATAGGCACAATATAAAATAAATATTATTAAAGAAAATATATAATGCATATATAATTATTTTACCACAATATGACTTATACAATGTTGAAAAAGCAACACTATCAACCAAACTCTGCTCAGAATCGTTTTTCGTTAGCAATGGATAATCGTTACATACAGATACACATTAAATTTCCCATTTACCTTCCCAACTTCTCACCTACAACAATGGCCTATGCGCGAATTATGTCTGTATTTTTTTTTTTCAAGTTAACTTCAAGTGTAACTGATAGTTATTTAAAGTAAATATATGGGTTGTCAATTTTATTGCGCAGTCTTAGAAGTAAAGACAATTTGTCTTAATAAAAAATATTAATATAGTGTTGTATTTTAGATTTTAGATCAATTTTTACTTTAATAATAAAAGTACTTTTTTAATTGCATATTAAAAATATATAATATTCGTTTTCGGAAACAAAATTTTGTTGCCAGGGAGGGGGAGTTGAAATTTGAAATCATCCATTGGCGGATATCCTCGCAAATATAAGGGGGAGCTTTATAGGTTAATCTGAAAAAATGTTGGAGCTACATCCCCAAGCTCCCCATAAATCCCATAAATCACTGTCGCAGCCCCTTGAAGTTTGGTCAAAACCACTACTGGTCCAGATCCAAAGTGTTTCGGCTATATGTGTAAGATCTATAAATCTATTCTTACGGCGATTACCTGTGGCGGTAATCTGGAGAATCGTCTGTTGGCACGTTGATTTCTAGTTTTTTCATTTTCGACAGGTCCATTTCAGTGTCATACCAGTCTGCGTACTTGTGTCCGTCGATCCCGCGTTGGTCCGTGTTCTTGAGACCGTACTGACGATGAACCGCGGGCGCAACTTCGGCGTCGATGTCCGTTTCCCGTTTCTTTGCGTCACCCGATGGCGTTTGTATGCTCCCATTTCTGGTTTCCGCGGCGTGACCGTTGGCAGCGGTCGTCTGCAACAGGCCGTTTGGTTTCTTTTCTACAGTCTCCCATTTTATTATGCCGCCGTTGTCGTGCCCTCCTCCGTTGACGTGCCCTCCTCCGTTGACGTGCCCTCCTCCGTTGGCGTACCCACCCCCGTTGACGTACCCACCTCCGTTGACGTGTCCACCTCCGTTGGCGTGTACGACGTTCGTTGTCCGCTCCGAGTCCACAGTATCGGCGGCGGCTCTCGTGCGCGCAATGTCTCCGTATCTAGTGCTTTTCGTCAAATGCGATTTTTGCCCGTCCCGTCTGTTAGACAGGCACGTGTCCAATACGAATACCATGCCCGTCACTATGGACAAAGTTCCAAGGACGAGCGCGTTGACGACCAGATTACTTGGCACGCTATCTACAGCGGTCATTACCAGACAGCCGACGGCGATGAACAGCGCCGCCCCGATGACCAACAAAAACGATTCCTGTCAAGTGCATTTTAAAAAAACGCACGTATTAGCAACGATGGAGTAAGTATTTACGTGTTTATCTGTCGCGCATTACCGTTTTCCTGCTGTTCTTCAGCTCGCCCATCAAGTATGCTATGAATAGCGCCACGCATATTATTATGTAACCGCCGAACGTCACGTCCGCGAACAGTGATCCGGCCCCGTTCCTGGTGACGTTGTTCAGCAACGGCCATTCCCGAGATGTCTTCTCAAAGTAATAAAACAGTCTGGAGGCTTCTGCGTCCGTCCATCTTTTATAGAGCAGACAAATCAAACACATAATCTGAAAAACACAAACATAACCGGAATTATTAACAACGCCGAACGACCAAATTTAAATTACGTATATACTGCAACGGTATAAAAGGGGTCGAACTTAACGTGAAAAACTACTAACAAATTGCTCATCAGACGCGCTGCTGGAGGAAGGCGAAAAGTTGCCGTATGACGTTACATATTTTACAAAATATGCACGTACATGCATTGATATCTATAACATTGTTGGTCGATCCTACAGTAAAATGTTTTGCTCTTTCCAATCGAAAGAAAAACAATAATGAAATTTTAGTGTTTTTTTTTTTTATTCAAGTTTTTGTTTTTGAGCAACAGGTTCTTCTGAGCATGTTTTAACACGCCAAGTACGCGGCACTAATGCTCCTCAGCGATAATTTAATGCTACCCAGGGGTGGGTGTTCGTGCCATCACGGACCAAATATTAGTGCCACTGGCATTCTTACCGGCCGTTAACGACCCAAAATAATTTGAATAAAATTGATATGGTTTTATAATATAGTATCGAAATGAAAATTCAATTTTTCGATACAGTAGTGCAGTTGCCATTTGGTGTTATCCGTGGTCGACAAATACTATCGCTGATATTATTTTGAGTTCTTGTTCAACAGTTCATCGTATGTTACAGAAAAAAAAAAAATATTTTATTGAACTCGATCATATGCCGTGTACGCCGGAATTGTTTTGATATGAATGGATTTTTTTTTTTTCGATATGTAGAAAACGATAATAATACACGTCATATTTTTAATAATGTTATTAATTTTTTCGGAAATCGTCGACCGTTATCGTCTCCGTGATAGTTCTTCTGAGTTGAGAGTCGTAAATTATGACTATGCTACTAGCTACTATTTAATGCTTTCGTAATTGCTATTTGTGCATTGAACTTCCGATAGTAGTCTTCGTCGGTCTCGTTGTGATTATGTTCCTCTGCAGGTAGACAATTTTACCAAAGTGTCACCCAGCAAAAATTCCTTAAAGTGTGCTCTGAATAGGTTATTGGAAAAATCCTATATTTAAGGTGGTTATTAAAATGTTAAAAACAATTTTCAAATTTTACAAAATTGGAGTAAATTTGGAAACCCGGCTCTGACAGATTTTAGACTGCTTTGTTTATATATAATACAACTTTCAGAAGGAATTTGGGTGAGGAGCCCCTCGACTGCGTCTATAACACTTACATGATTTTTTTTATCAAATCACCAAGAAAAAAAAAAAAATGCCAACGCAAAACGCTAATGACCGTGTGGAAGTTAATTAAAAAAATTGTACAGTTTATCGCAATAAATCGTCAACTCCGCTTTATTATTTCTTTTTAAAATCGTGCAAATATAGAACTCGTACATAATATTTCGATTTAATAGACATCACCTTGTCCATGATGATTACAATAATTGCTTGTTACACACACAAAAAACGGAACGCCTTTTTTTTTTTTTTTTTTTTTCTAAAGGTGAGGCCTCGTTAACTGATTATGTTTAATAATTATCTACCTATGATCGTCGTCATGAAAACAAAACTGTGAAAAATGCATTCTCCACAGTTGTATAATTTGTAATATTATAATGCGGACTGTCGTGTGTAAGTATATGTTTTTATAAATTATTTTAAAAATCAAACAAACGGTTCATCTCGTCGGCTGTATAGGATTTGAAATATTAAGTATGTACATTTTTTTAAAATAAAAATTGTGTACGTTTTTGACGAATCGATGAAATCTAAATATATAGTAGGTAAGATAATTGGGACGAGTGCAGCTACTGGTGTAGATAAAAGTTGGGAAGGTAAGATATAGACGGGAATTTAATGTATATCTGTAAGCAACGATAAACCATGATTTACGAAAAAACGATTCTCAGTGGAGCTCAGTTGATAGTGATGCTTTGTCAACAATATATATATATGTTATTTTGTAGTAAAATAATTAAATAGGCTTTATATATTTTTTTTTAACAAAATTAGTTTAATGATATACAAATTTTCTCAGTTTTCTTACGATTTTCCCGTTTTTTCGTTTTTTCGGTTTTTCGCATTTGAAGAGAAAACTCTTGTGAAAATCAAAAAGTGACTTTCCTTAAGTACTTTCTCACGCCGATTTTATTTCAAAAAAGGTGCTACACGTAGAAATCTGAGCAAGTTTTCTTGTAGAAAAGTTGCGCACAGATAAAAAAAAAAATAAATATACATCTAAGTAATATGAACGATAGTACAAAAGAAGACATATGGTGCGAACTCGACTCGCAAGTAAATCACTATAACGTCTTTAAACACAAAATATACATGTAAAAAATAAAAATAAAATATATTTAAAAAAAGATTTGATACTAGGGACGGGTGTGCCAATGCTATAGATGAGAAGTTAGGTAGGATACATAAAGTTATTTAATTTATATCTATAAGCAAAAATAAATCATTGCTAACGAAATACGATTAGAAGCAAAGTTCGTTTATACATGATTTGAAAAGCCGTTGTAATATTTATATTTTTCATCAAAATTTGATTTTAAAATCATAATAAAATAATTACTACATTATGCTCTATTTTTTTTACCCCTACGTACAACTTTAATGAACCTCATGTTAAATTTTCAAGTATTTCTGTTCAAAGGTACCCACAGGGAGGGAGGATAATATGGGCCATCCTCCCCTGCTCCCTTGGGATGTTCAACTGCGTGTACATTTATCACGCATAATGGCACACCATTTCATCATAACAGTTTAAAATATTTTTAGAATAAATCGTTTTGCCCCTGGTGGGATTTTATCATTGTTTCTTTCAGACAATTTTCTTTGGGAAGGGCATTTGGAAAAACGGGTAGAGGGGGGTTAATTATATTACATCAAGAAAAATAAATAGTTTGATAATAATAACCTGTTTTTAAATTTAAGAACATTTAAGAAAAAACCAGCTCTAAAATATTACATATCATTTTTGCCACCCTTATTTTTGAGGGCGAAACGACTAGGTCCCTAATTTTGATTTTCAAATGACAACCTATATTAAAAATGACATAAATAGATGAAGTACTGGCATAATAATATTTTAGTAGGTATTTAAATTTAAAATTTTCATCGATCCGTTAATGAAAAAATGCAGTTTTATGTTTAGACAGATACAAAAAAGCAAATTAATTAGGTTTGGTTATACAAATTTTCTAGAAAAAAAAAACATCATATACCTATACCCTATATACATATGATGCATACATCATGCATTCATTCTTACACATAATTTACAAGTTAAAAAGTTGTCCTAGAATAATGATGACGGATGCAGCCGCTGTTGTTTGTGAGAAGTTTGGAAGGTAGAATATAAAGAGGAAATCAATATGTATCTGTAAGCAACAATAAACCTTTGCTTACTAAAGGCGATTCTAAGTACTGATTTTTATAACAATGATCCGTTTTTGATAAACTAATGAAATATTTATCTGACATTATTTTTGCAATTTTTTTCAGCAAATCCGAGTTATGAGGTTTATATATTACAGGTTTACTTGAAGTATTCTGAATTGGGAGTTACAGTTAATTTTGGAAATGTTAACACCCCTCCCCCTCTTCACGCCTCTCTAAATGCTCCTATCTAATAATATAATAAACATATAATACTAATAATATAAACATTCGTTTAAGGTTAATATTTGATTAGAAAAGTAAATATTTTTGATATTTATTCAAAATTAAATAAATATTGTCTTAATACACAAATAATATAAATTAAAGGTTTATAATTCTATGCTTATTAAATGTTGATTCAACTTAGTTTTCTAGTTTATTTTACTTTTATGGACGCTTTGGTTTAGATTATAACGATCATCCTTAAATCAAAACTCAAAATTTATTCAATGATCAACATTCTGAAATCGACATTTCTTAAAGGTTTATTATAAGTTTGTATGTTATGTAGGAAGCAGCGATAAACTATTGCTTACTAAAAACTATAGTTGTAGTGATTAACGATAAAACGGATTTTTAAGGATAAAGAGTTGTTGCAAACACATCACAGCTAGTTGTATACAAATTGTGTACAAAATAATGGTAAAAAAAATGTTAAAAATGACTATTGGTTATTTGTCTGGGGGGGGGGGAACTGAAAAACCATTTCTCTAGCCGCCCTCTCAGGTTTTTCAAGAATTACTCTGAAACTATGGCAGTACAAATTTTGAGGTTTTTCGAACGAATTTGCACGAAATAAATGATAGGCGAAAAAAAATATCAAAAAGTAGATGGTGGAGGGAGAACTGGACAAACATACTTCTCTAGTTAGTACCTACTTTAGAAAGGTCACTTTTTGAAATTCTTATTAATATTCCAGATAATGAGGAAAAACTGGTTCAATATAGAAAAAAATTCGTAAAAATTCAAAATGATGAAATCCACAGTGACGCCACGACATGCTGTACATATTTGTATGGTTTTACTATGATTTTGATTCCGAGTTCCCCTATTTATTTTGAAAACCACTCGAAAATAATAAAAAAATAACTTCTTTAATGCACGAACCATATCCGAAATGGGACAAACAGATCTCTTGTCATTTTTCGATTAGAGCATCATTTCTGGTCGATAAGTTGTTGACAGACAGAAAAACAAATAAAAACAAATTATAGTAAAACTAATGAAAATTTGTATCTATTAAATAATAATTATAATAGGTATGCATTATTGTCGGTTACAATATTTAATAGGTAAATATCATTAAATTGCATACAATGTACTTGTATATCTCATATTTATAATTATATCTCAATATAATACAATATAAAATTATCAAATATAATTATCTCATAATTATAAACCTGAAGTTTTATTTTAAAAATTTAAATGTTTAAAAACATTTTACATAAAACAACTGAAAAATATTTATGTGATTTAAATGTAAAACAAAATAGGTATTAAATATCGACTAATCACTATGTAAGTACTTATAATCAATAATCAGTAATCAGTCTTTGATTTCAGTAGGTAACTAATGTAAAACAAATATAATAAATTATATATTAAATAAAAATAGTCTTAGGCAAGTATCTGTTAAACCTTTAAATTCTCCAATGTTTGTACAACGGCGTGATCAATAAAATTAATATTTTTTTTTTTTACAAATTTGCCAATTTCAAAATTCCACGGGACAGGAAATATTATGTGTTTAAAACAACTAAAAAAAAAAAGTTAAAACGTTTGTTTATGCATAAAGGTTTACAGGTAAATCACAACTACTTATATTAAACGTTTTCAATATCTATTTTCTTTAAATAACTTAGCGACCCTGCAGTGTATCTAATAAACTCATAACACGATCTGTATAGACGACATTTAATAAAATAATTAAGCACCTACACGTAATATGTATCTATGATATATACCTATTACCTGCATAAATGTATATTATTATTGTATAATTTTCACATTATTTCCCAAATCCTAAGACCTTGATAATTTATGTGAAAAGATCTGCTTGTTTGAAAACTAAAAAAAAAAAATTAATACAATATACTGTATACAAAACAATTATGTACGCAATATTTTTGTTTTCATTAAATTAATAATAATATTAAAAAAAAACGTCTAATGATAACATTAAAATTATTTTAACATTATACGTTACTCTGCGTCTTTTCAGTCTTCAATATATCTATCTGCAGTATACGATCATCATAAAATTTCAATCCAATGAAAACTAGGTATCTTCTGAGCCAAACAAAAATGGTTTAAATTTTGACAGAAATAAATCATTTTATCAAAAATGTTACAATCGTACCCAGTCTCTTCAAGTGATCAAAAAGTCTTATATAGCCATATAGGTACTGCAGACAAACCTATGATGGGTTGTACACTGTGTAGATGGAAATTTGAAAAGGAGGATATTTAGAATAGGTCGTTTGCTAGTTTAATTTATCTCTGTACAAAACGATAAACTATTGCTAACGGGAAATGTTTCTGAACGAAGTTCGATTATACATGTCTTGAAATTTTCGAAATTTTTATGATTTACGTAAAAATTTAATCTAAACGTCGTTTATAAAAAAACTATCAGAGTTAAACTTATAATAAACTCAGAATTAAATTTTTCAAATATTACTGTGTGTCGAAAGAATTGTATCCGCCATATTAAACCAAAAAAGATAAAATGTCTATAAACAGTTCAAAAATCACCAGAATGTTTTGAAATTTTTACCACGTCTAAGTATAAATATGGATAATAAAAGTATTATTTGAAAAAGTTAAGTATCTACGGTTATTTTTAACCGAATTTAACCGAAAAAAAACAAAATCGAATATAATGAAACCGTTATTACGTACGTTTTCCGACTGTTTTCTCCACTATTAGGAAAACAGCAACGAAAATAAACTTCCGAATGCATCAACTAAACAAAATTGCCTACAAAAAAAAAAACTTTTTTTTATTTTTTATTGGAGCAAGATATCGAAAAATGTATATAATCATTCCTAAAACCTAAGTTATATTATCATTGTCATACGTACTACAATATACAGTTTAATAATATTACAGAAAAACACAAAATCCATAACAGTTTACTTGTGCAAAGACGCGGGGATTTTCACGAAGCATGGGACCAAATATCCATTCTGCCGTTCTTTTCCGTCGACGTTAAATTTATTATTTAATAAATAACGACAAGACCTGGTGAAGAGTCATATAAATAATGAGAATTTTAAATTTAAAATCCCTTCAGCAATATTTTTCTGTCTACACCACTGTATTGAACAGTACCAATGGCTCAAAAATTCGTTTTAACAATTTTAATACACCAACGATTTGTATATGTATTGAATTCGTATAAATAGAGTTAATAGTTTTGTAATTTCTGGAAATCGATTTCAATCGATATCGATATAATGTAATATGTTATGTGTCCGTATCGCCTGCAGTTAATAAAAAAAAAAAAAAAATTTTTTTAAATCCAGTGATATTTGAGAGGGACAATGGGGGGCATTCACCTCCCGCCCTCCCGGTCCGTATAATATGTATACATTTTTATTAGCGTTAAAAAAATCTTGTTTTATGAACTTAAATGTTGTATTTTACATAGGAAATAAATTAAAACATTTGTATTATCCCATTGCCGCATCTCGTTGTTGCGTAGATTTTTTTTCTTAGAAATTTTAAAAATACATTTCCCCCATCGTTCGTAAGATGTGTCTAGATACGCCACTGTGTAAATCAACTAGACAAATTATTCAACAATTGGTGACAATTGCGCCACACGAGTACCTACGTACCTAAGTACCCATAAATTAGTAACATAATAATAACAACATGAATAATAATACACGGTGATGATTTCAAATTAAAATCTATGTATTTTTAATGGATATGTTTATGTTTTTCTCGTGCGTATAATAATTTGTGATACGAATCACGATTACTTAATTAATTCGAATAAAATATCTACGTAGAAAATTAACACCGACCCAATGAAATAAAATGATTGTTTACCTATAGATGTATGCATGTAGATTATATACTATTATTTTTTACCAAAAAACCAACGAAGGATAATGGGGATAATATAATAATTGTATAATATTTAACGTATTATATGCTGTCGATCTAAAGCGACAGTAATTATTTTGAAAATATTTTTTAGATACAGAGTGAAATATATACGATGATATTGATAAGGCCACAACAATGGTTTATCGTTGGTTACAAGTATAAATTATATATATTTATGTATCCCACATTCCCAACTATCAACCTACAACAATGACTGTATCCGTCCGCAGTATCAAATTTTTTTAATTTTTTTTTTTAATCATCAAAACGATTATTATTTATTATTAATCATAAAGTAATAAGTATTTGGATGCTATATGAGGTTTTGGCATCATTTTTTTTATCCCGTATTTGTCAAAAATAAAATTTTAGATTCGGAGCATAACGAGGAATGTATTGGTTTTACCATGATGTGTTTTTTTTTCTGTCTGTGAACAACTTTTCTACTAAAAATCTTGCTTGAAGTATTAGGTGTAGCACTTATTCTGAAAGAAAATTTTCTCTAATTGGTACATTAAGCAGGACATTTTTTGATTTTCTAATGGATTTTCAAAATAATTGGGAAAAATTAAAAAATACACAACAAACATTTACGGAACGTCACGGCGTTGTAGATTTCATAGTTTTTAATTTTTACATTCGAAATTTGTAATTATAAATCTTGCTCTAATTAAAAAATAACAAGAGATTGATTGTATTAAATTTAATATCTAGCTACTGACAGAGAAAGTCATACTTTGATGTCTAAAGTAGTTTTCTTAACAATTGGGAAAAACCAAACTTTTTTTCATGAAATTACGACACAGCGATTTTATTATTTATAATTATTTCTGGTAAAAATACAATTTAATATAATCTACCAGGAAACCTTGTCCAAATTTTAATAACAACATAATTTCTGAGAGAAAATTTTGTTTAGTTTGTGATTAGGAAAGTCTTTGTTTGATTTTCCTAATAATTATGAAAAACCGGGAAAAACTTTGGAGATACGGCATAGGGGTTATTTGTTAATATTAAAAATTACTGTAGGACCTGTAGTTTTCACAAATTAATATTATTTAATTATCAATTGTCATTGAGTACATTATACAGATATAAACTAAATTTCTCTCCATATCTTATCTATCCAACTTATCACTTTCAACAGTGACCCACCCATCCTGCGAATTTTGTCCGTCTTTTTTTTTTTATCTCTCGATTACAATTATTATTTGGAAAAATTGACGAAATTAAATAATATTAATTTTTTTTCTTAAACACCGGGACACGATGCCCGACACTTATTTTCAAGGCATCGGTACACCAAGCCAAAAGCCGGTAACTGCCCTGGTTTTCCGGGAAGTACGACAACCCTACACTGTATTAAGTTGCGTATCTAATATAATTATTTTTCGTATACGGCATCTTGAAAAGACTAATTATTATGTTATGTCTAAATACCAGCATATCTACGTACAATATGAATGAAAAACCATAACCTTGGGTATTTTCACACGGCCCTTATTTTTTTTCACGAAGGTTGTTCATCAATATTGTATAATTAAATAATTATTATTTCACATGCACGCGTGTGTGTAATTTGAATACTCATATATAATATAGGGCCTTTGTCACATGTATATTGTTTTTATAGTTTTATACTTGTTTTGTCCATCTTATATACCTACCTACCTATACGAACATGTATACTTACAATTTGAGAAAACTTGAAACAGGCCCAGCCATCGCAAACGGACATGATTTAACCTTGGATGTACCTATCACCAAACTCATTTCATCACAACCTGTAATTTATAAATGCAATAAATTATAAATAAGTAAAACGGTATGGGATAACTACTGTAATTTATTTTGTTTGGTTGGAAGAATACAGTAGAAATTGTAAAACAGACTACGTTTCATCGTTTTGCTGTACCTAATATATTACGTATTTTAAATGCGCAAAACTATAATATGCTGGGTACCTATTCAAAACAAATTTTAATGTCACTCAATTATATAGGATCGTGATTACCTGCACAGTGCACATGCAAATATTGCAGCATACACCATGTATAGGTAAAATAAATTAGTTTAGATCGAATTCCTATACAATACAACTGTAATTTCAAAACCAAAATAACCGAGGCCGTACCTCACGGGAAGAGGAGAAGTAAGTAGAATATTTTTAGAAAAAATTATAAAAATGAAAAATGGCGAAAAATCCCAAAAAATGTGTTATTAAATTTAAAATTAAGGGGATTGGAAGCGGTGATTTTCTGTCTTTATCTTGCAACATAGGAATTTAAACGCGTTCTATTTCCAACGTTCTCATTGGTTTGGTAAAGCGATAATAATTCTGAAAATAGATTTGAATTTGCCGTGAAGTCTACGTGAAATTGACTTTCCCACATTTATGATTTTAATTTCTTCAGGGGCTAAAATATTCCATTTTTTATTATTTTATTTGTAGTTTAAGGGGATAAAATCAAAAATGAGGAAAAGTCAATTTGAAATAGACTTGACAATAAATTCAAATCTGTTTTCAGAATTCATATCGCTTCACTCGGCCAATCGGTACGTTGGAAATAGACGCGTCTAAAATCATATGTTGCACGTGTGTAAGACAAAGACAGAAAATCAATGCTTTTAACCCCGTTGACTCGTAAAAAATTATATTTCTCTACGAAATATTAAATTGAATAAATCGTAAAACGCATCTCCTCTTGCACGAATAACATTATATGCAAATAAAAATCGAAATGTCTTGTACGCAAATGTGTATATTATCAATTTTACCTATACGGAGTGATCAATATAACGTAAGTCTGAAGACATTCATTATGTCGAAAAACTTTAGCTGGAACATATTATGATAATAATATTATTATGCAAATAGGTATATCGTATTACTATTGTTTTTATTATTTAAATCGCTTAAAAAACGCATATATAGTGATTATAATATGTGGAGGTTCCTAAACTTTACTATTTTACAATAATGTTATTATATTATGAGTATTACTATGGCATAAGTACAACCTCCCCCCCCGAAATTTGAAATATGCATTATAATATAATTGTAAAGTTCAAAACGTTAACTTGTAACCCTCCTCCGAAATTGTTTTCTGCATACGTACCTATAGAAATAATAATAGGTATATTTCATATAGGTACGTTACGTGTCACTAACTTATCTACAATGCATTGGCGTAATTTCTATACTTGATAGATTGAGAAAACTTGCCAAATTTGTTGACTGACGAGGAAAGGAATCATTTACACCCCCCCCCCCCCCCACCACCAAAAAAAAAAAAAATTAAATATATTTCTTTGCTATTACTTTTAATTTAATATGGTTATTTCGAATTTGCTTATGTACTTAAAAGAAAATTGGTATAGGAAGGTACAAATTTTAGTAGAATTCATAAAATTTATCATTAATATCTAAAATTAAAAGTTATGAACATTGCAGGTAGGAAAATAGAAAAACCGCAAATTAAAGACATACGAACAGAAAGTAGGTATGTAAATTAAACGTTTATCGATATTTTTTTAGATCCAAAAGAAAGGAATCAATCGAAAAACGGATTTTAAACAAGGCTAAAAGTTTGACTGAAGCAAATGCCTAATTTTACCCCTCCCCTTAATGATATCACTGCTATGATGTACTATATTTTTAATCCCAAACTCCTGCAGATCAACTATTTACTGAACAAATTTAAAATTATGTCTATTTTACATTCTGTTTCTTTTTCGTACAAGTAATAATTACATACATAAAGGACGTCCAAAATGTTTTAAAAATGTAAATAAACGGATAAATAATATTGCGAGTCTAATAAGAATTCTTGGGTTCAAACGAATTTTACGTCATTTTTCATGAGACAGTGATTTAATGAAAATAACATATGATTAGAATGTGTAAAATTTACATTTTATTTTCATTTAATGAAATCTATAGGTCAGTGGTTGTCAACCTTTCTGGGTCCACGGCTCCTTTTGATTTTAAAATAAAATATACGGCTTCCATACGAACATTTAAAATAAATAAATTTACATTATTTAATCATTTTAATTTTACTTTATTCAATGATAAACGTGTAATTATTAATAAAAGGAAACATTTTTTTTTTGAGATTTATTTTTTTTTTACAATTAAAAAATCAATAAAATAATAATAATTTTAATATTTAATAGGATGACTGTGCATGTTTTTTTTCCCCATAATATTATAAAATCATGGGGTAAATTTTGAAAGCGCGATTCTTATTTCCATTTCGGTTTTTCGGTCTTCCTCTATATTTAATTTTAATAACTGCTAAGGCCGTAAAACCTGTTTTACATAAGTACGAAGAAGCAAATGGAATCAAAGTCCTGATAGCCTTATTGGCTACGATCGGATACTGCTTCTTCATAGCTATCCAAAATTCTGGTAAAAATGTTGATGCAAATTTGGATTTTAATGCTGAATCTGAGGATAAGTTTATTAGTTATTCTTGTTCATAAATTGTTAATTCTGACGGTAGGTCAGTAGTAAAAGGATCCTTAATCAAATTTTGTTGTTGATCGTCATCGAGATAATAATTTTGGAAATGAACAATAAGTTGTGATAAGTGCCCCATGAATAATAATTTGACAGATTGTATCAAGTTTAAATTATTTTCATGAAGAAACATATACAATGTAGGGAAACAGTCATTTAAAGCGCTTTCGTCCATTTTATTCTTCCACAAGACTAATTTCCTTTTAAAAAAAGTAATTCTTTCAGTTAACTGCAAAACGTAGGTCTCATTACCTTGTATCTATATACATTTAATATATTGAGTTTTTCAAAAATATCACATAAGTACGATAGTTTCATTAAAAAGACTTCATTTTCAAATATTTCAAAATGTTTTTTTTTGTTCAAGAAGAAAACAATGAAGTTCTTTTCGAAATTCAAATATTCTTCTCAACACAGTTCCTCGTGAATTGTGAATGTTAAAAAAATTATATCGCAGCCTCTATTTCAATAAATAAAATGTCGCACTTTATTGTACGTGAAGTAAACCTATAACGAAGTTAGGGGGAGCTCAGTTTTGGTGTAGTTTTCAATACAAGCAAAATTAATTTTTGAAAACACGTACACTCCTGCAGTTTAGGCCGAAAAACAAAGAGAAAAAATTACATTAAAATACAAAATGAAAAAACCAACAATAAGCCGAATATAGGCCCTTCTTTCTTGGAACCAAAGGTGTATGGATACAAATTAACTTAAAATTAGGTACGTTTGAAAATATCTACTGTAAATTAAAAACTATACAAAACGTAAATAACGTTTACGTTTTTTTTTTTTTTTTTTTCTGTTTCCCCGGGGGCAACCTAACTTAATCTAACCTAATCCCTTGCCGGTAGCGGTGGACGGAATTTCGACGGTCGGGGGAGTGAAATAATAATGACTCACCAGTATGTCGAACCGGTTGCCGCGGGCGTCGCGAACGGTCGACCGGTACACGATCGACGACGGAAAACGGCGAGGACGGCGCGCTTTAAACGTCCCCTGAATATACCGGCCGTTTGCGTACGCGGTATTGTGGCCGCTGTCCGGGTCCACGGTCTCGCGATGCGCTTGCGTCTGCGTGTCGGTCGAGGGTGTCGGCGGACGGTTCGGGTGGCGCGCGTCGGTATTAATTAACGCGACGGGTGGTCTCGGCTCGGGTGCTGCGCGCGTAATGTCCGCGAACAGGACGCGCGCCGTCCGTACACGAGCCCGTCGCCCCCTCCACGGCGGCCCGTTTTCCGCTCCTTCTCCGAGTGAAAGTTTTGCGCGCGCCGAAGTGCGCACCTGTTAAAAATCCCGTAGTGTACGTGGCCGAAAGTTTATTGCAATATTATTGCCGGGTGACGTGTGCCCATGGAATTTTCGACGACGGGAGGCGCCGTACGGACGTCCATAGTAAATAATACAACGAACACGGCGATCCACGTAAAAATCGAAATCGTTACCTAATAAACTACGGAAATATCGTCAAAAGTTAACTAAAATATTATTTCCTAAAATATTTAGACATTGTCTGAAATGTCAATACTGCCGGTAACATAATATATAGTCGTTGTATTTTTATTTTATGAGGCGGGGGAGACATAACCCCTAATACGCCACTGGTATGTTTCAAAATAACGACTATTTCAACATTATTTTTAACGACTTTAACTTTAAAAAAAAAATCTAAACAAATATAAATTCATCGTCTTGTCTTTTAGAATATCATCGTCTTTTATTCTTTATTCCTGTACATTAAGGATATTAATTTAAAGTCAAAATTAAGCTAGTTTTACTCAGACCTTGGCACTCCAACGCGATATAAATTTTTCACGCGATACGTGACACAAAACAATATCTTTTTTTTATAATTTGTAATATACTCGGATGCAAAAAATAAATCAGAAATATCGGCTTTATGTTGCAATATCTGCATGTAGATATCGATTTGTATGTAATATTAGTGCTGAGCAGAAGTTTGATTTAACCGCAATCCGGATTAAATAATTCTAATCGACGGATTAGAAAAAATCCGGTTTAACGGATTGAATCCGTAATCCGGATATTAAACAAGATTATATAATTTAAATGAACCGCGGGTACAGGACGTCAGTAAAGGCATACATTAAAATATGCAACAGTTATTATATGCTGGATAATTTGTTACGTATCTATTATCGGACGGTCCGAATGTTCAAATACGTTTAACCCCGTGAATTTCGTAGTTTTTAAATGCATTTAATTTTGCTTAATAATAATCCGGATAGGTCGTTATTTTATTCCGTTTTAATGTATTGGATACGAATTGTGAAATTTTAGTCAACCCGGCTTACCAAGCCCAGATTAAGCTCCCGAAATATAGGGGGCCCGCATGTAGAGGCCCGAGGTATTATTCGCCAGGCCTTAATTTTTTTGTTTAATTTTTTTCAAATTAATATTTCTGTAAAGTAAAACTAAGTTATAAGTAATACAAAAAATATATATACATAAATAACAATAGGGTATAATATACCTTAGGTATATAGAAATTACTTAGTAGGACGTTTTTTTTCATAGAGTATTCTTAAATTAAATAGATTATTTAGTGATGAACGCGGAACTTGCTGAGACTTTTTTCTGCGTTCGTCACCGACATAAATACATAGACCAGGGCTTTGACTCGGATAGTGCACTTGGCCAAAAATTTCAATTAATCGGGCACTGATTCAGATTGTACACTAATGTATGTATAATAATCATCTGTACCGGAAAAAAAGTATTTTTTTTTATACATTTCAATTCATTGATTTTTTTTTAGAAATCTTTCAAAATTACCCAAAACGCCGTCACACGCATTAAAAAAAATTTATTACAAAAGTAATATTATATACCCGCGGTTTCCCGACCCGAATTAACACGATGCTTCAATCGTCCGTCGTCATATTATACAGTTTATAGGAGAAGCGTTAAAGTCTTTTCAACGATATTTTAAAACGACTCGCGGACTTTTTTCACGTATTCGACTCGTTGTCCGCGCGTAAATTAATCGCGTGACGAAAATCTAATACCGGTGTATAATGTATATTTATTGTACACAGTAATATCCGTTCATAGATTTGTTTACCATAATATATTATCATACGGTATGAACCCGGTACTATTATGCCCGCGAAACAAACCATCATCGCAAATAATAATTAATAGGTGCAGTGTTTTTTTTTTTTTTTTTTTTTTTTTTTATTATTATTATTATTATCGTGTTGAAAGCGTTCGTCGTTGTATTCTATACACAAAATCGCCACCTATCAAATAATTAAACGCGAGCAAAATAATAATAACGATATATTAATACGTTATAGTTATGCGTCGTAAAGTTCAAATTGTATTATGCATTGTAACAATGTACATACTCGGTTTTTGAAACTTTTTTTTTTTTTACTGTTTTTACAATTTTTGATTCCAAATGTGCATTGAAGTACATATGATATAGTTTTACTAAAATACGGAGTTTTTTCATTTTTCTCGGAATACATTATTTTTCGGTTAGTAAAAATGCTCCGACTTTGACGAATGTACACACCTACCTTAGACGATATTTTACCCAGTTGAACTTTATTCGAAATATTTGTCCACTGTCCCAGCAGTTTTACTGAAAAAAAACTTCAAATTACCTGACAATAAATGATAATACACCGCGGCATTACTCGTGTTTATTTCTAGGTGGTTTTGGTCACTAATACTACCTAACTTACCCGCAGTTTGCCAAGCTCCGCCGCTTTCTTCGGAATCGTATGCGTGGTTTTTAACGCTTTAAATTCACAGTCTCGCACTTATTATGGGTATTTCTTTTGCACTTATGTATACATTTATCGTAGAACGTAGGTCCTAAATTGAAAACTTCGGTAGCTATGTGTATATAAAAAAATATATCTATCACATCTACTCGTAATATTTGTATTGTCCAAATAAAATATAATCCAATCAAACACATGTCTACTTGCAATTTACTATACGTACCTATACGTAATAATAAATGATGTTATTTTATTACCCATATTGTCTGAAAATTAAGCACGCTTTGGCAAACATTTCAATATAATGCATTTTTTTTTTTTCAATTGCAGAGTATGTAGTCCACGCGTGCTTACAAATCAGCTGAATAGATTATTTATTGCTCTCGGAAAGGAAATAATACATTTATTCGTGTAATAATTTTTTTTTTCTGTTCTTTACAATCTTTTGAGGACTAAGGTCCTTCACCGCCACAACGATATTTTTTCCTACCTCTATCCCTATAAATATGTTATATATTTCAATCTGTTTCATCTTCTTGAGTTAGATTCTTCAGCTACTCGCTACGAGATTGCAGTCTATACAGTGTCTACCCATTTTTCTCGTGGTCGCTCCCTTGGTCTCTTTCTATATCCACGGTATCAGTTATTATTGTTCATAATGTTTTAATGATATCTTCTTGTCATTCATACAACTGATTTTAATAACTGAATAACATAGTACGTTGCATTGGCATTCGAGGGTTAACTATATATTCTGCCTTCTGTTTTTTATCTTAGTATACAATTGTATATATATATATATATATATTATTTTGTTCTAATTACCAATTTTTATATCCGTATATTATTCAATAATGCGCACACATGAAAATTAATAAATATTAAATAAAATATAAAAGAAACATTATTGAATGGGTATTACTTTTTAAAATATATTTTAAAATCGTTATTTTTATCAGTCTTCATCGTTTTAGATTCTGAGCGAAGCACATATTTAATGTGTTTTTTTTTTTGTGTATTTGTTAATTACTTTTCTACCAGAAATCTTGCTCCAATCAAAAACTTTACAGAACATTTTCTCGTAGCATTTTTGATCTAATTGTGATGCATAACAAAGTGGGGGAGGGTAATTTTTGATTTGTTTTCATTGTAGTTTTTTTAATGAATGGGAAAATTGCAAATATTGTCAGTGACTAATTACCCGTTACTATCAAAATCGTTTTTCATTGGAAATGATTTATTATTGCACATACATTTAAAATTAAATTACTCTATATATTATCCTCCCTTTCAACTTACCTCTTAAAACAGTGGTACACCCAATCAACAGTATTAACCTTATTATTCATATAAATGTGTCGCAAATAATAATAGCTTTCTGTGTACCACGTTATTTAGAATATTCAAGTTGGATTTATCATTATTACTTAGTCGAAATTCGATTTTAAAATATTATTGCAAACGTTTATTGCGATGTTTATAGGTCAGTAGGTACCTACACGCGTATAACATTTCGACAATAGTCTGTAATGAATTTATGTAACTTATTTTTACGTCTGATTACCTATACCAACAACTGTAACATATTATTTTTGTAATACACATATAATAACTCGTATATAGGTACGAATATAATATATTATTACACGTACCTTCATTTCCTTATTTAGCCAATATTCTGTTTATTATTTTATGTAACCACATTACATATTGATATAGGCACCTAAACGGCTTTACCAAGATCTATATCTTGCCACGAATATACAATACCTAGGTACCTATACAGTTTTACAGTATTACGGATTTATATAGTGTGTATAAGGGCGTATACACGGAGGGGGGGATTCTGATCCCCCGTCGTTTTTATTTTTATCTCTTCTACACAATTTACAATTATGTAGATTTAAAAAACCTTCACATTGAAATTTGTCACCATTAATTCCTTTCTACAAAAGTTATGTGTATGCCAATCGCCAATATCTATATGTGTACGCTTTTTGAAATCAAAAGCTAATTCAAAAATGTTAATCAGTGGTGTTGTGAGCGTAGCTGGAAATTAACAATTGCCCGAGAATAATTAAGGCTAATAATTTTGATCACAATTTATGAATTCAATATGACTTACAAATCAAACAATTCAAAAAAGTTTTATATTGTATTTATATATGATAACATTAAAATTGGGAGTTCATTCAAAATGTTATTAAATAATTAGAATAGCTCTCCACCGATCAGTGAATATTTTATGATATGATGTATAAAATACTAAATAATAACGAATACTATAAAAATAACTCTAAGTTGCAAGAATCTTATAAGTAAAGTCTTCTCCTTTTTTCGGAAGCAATGATTTTTCATTTAATACATGAATTAAATCAATCTATACATCCTACATGCCAAAATTCCTATTTATATACAACAATTCTGCGCCCGTTAGCAGTATCAATTCGTCGAAAGTTCCTTTTCTCTTTCTGTCTCAACAGTGACGACGATAGCCACTAGGTATTACGAGATCCTGGATAAAATACTGTTACTAGGCCTAAATTCATAAGTATGTGCCCGGTGGTGCAGGGGCAAGAAGGGACATTTACCCAAATAAATCAAAAATTAAAATTAAAAGTAAACGAAAAATAAAAGAGCAATTCGAAAACCAATGTTCTCTATAGGAAATAAAAAGTCGTCCAGTTTGATTTGTGTACAGTATATTTATATATGGATAGTAAAACATAGTCCACAGGTGCCTATATGAAGATATTGAAGATAATAACAATATATCACAGCCGACAGCAAAATTTAAAAAAATATTTCATATTATATATCCCGGAGTGCCGTTATAAAATTATGATAAAGTAGTCATTGTCATGATGTGCGAAAGAAAACCGCCGCCAAACGACTAGAAAATAATAATTATTATATTATTCCAGATCATATCTGGCCGCCTTAACAGCATGTATCTTTTGAATAAATAATTATTGTATATATATATATATATATATATAAACACACACACACACGTATAATCGTATATACCTGTATATTTATATAACTGTGATGGTTACGAAACGGTCCACAATTAGACATCTGAACAATTGCATTTGCGTGTTATTCTATCGAATGATCGATTCTAGCGGTGACGATAATCCAAAGAATTTAAAACTATAAACGTGCATTATACAGAACGGTTTAATATACGATTCATTGATGATTAAAGTACCTATATATACATACAGTATAGGGTTCAAGCACGTATTCAGGGTCAATTTTCGGGGAGGGGGGAGTTAAAATATTTTCAATACATGAACTTGTAGTTATTCTTATTTGTTATATTATACATATATATACCTATTTTACAAATTTCGGGGGGTTTAACCCCTACCCTTCTGTATACGGGCTTGATTGGGGTTACACGTTAAAATGGCTAGTGTTAAATGTCCAGTAGTTTGAATGTATGGAAAAATAAGGTTCAGTACAAGTACCTACGCGTATTCCCGTATTTACTTACGCATATTTTCAGTACTTTGTGTCGTTTGTATAGTGTACTTACCTATATTGATTTATTTTTCGGATTGATACCGTAGTCCACTTAGTTCAGAAATTTTGTATGATTGTCATTTGAACAAATTATAAAATCTATACAATTAGTATAGACTTAATATGCGAGCAGGTTTTTTTCGTTTAGTATTGCTGTTTTCGTATTCAAAAGATTCTGTAGCCTATTATAGATACTGAAAAAGTAGAGAGTAGATGTTATTTTAAACATTTTAACGATGAAATCTATAATAGTTAATGCATTATTATTTACTCACGAGACGCAGTTAATGTGAAAAAGGAACATATCATCAGCTTGTACATGGTGCAATTATATACCGATGTCCAATCCACGAACAAGAGAAACCTTGTTTCCTAAAATGTAAATTTTTGATTAATACAATACCATAATATTATTAATTTGTCGTACAACCTTGTACAGTACAATAATTTATTATGTACTTTGGTAATATTCTCTCGTATAAGTAGGCATAGTCTTCATTTACAAGCGCACTGGTATACTCCGTATACATCACGTTAACTGTCGTCATAACTATACTACGCATCACGGCCGTCACGTGCATACAAACATAATCGTAATTCGGAGTACTATTAACTATTAAGCAAGCATTTTGAATAATATTTTTAATTGTGTTGTGATATGAATGAAACGAGTGTCCAGCCGGTGTATTGATAAGCCCTAGTCAATAATAATTGTTCATCAGAATTGGGTAGAATTTTAGAATTATGTCATATAAATGTAAAACTGTATCGAAGTAGGTAAATCAAGTGATCTTTACATACGTTCAAATAGCCAATAGTATATTAAAATTAATGCGATCGTGTCCTAAAAAAAAAAATACTCAGAGATATTGATTTTCTACCCCAATAAAAATGGTGGAGTGACAGATGCGACCTCTCGCCATCCCGTAATGACGCTTATGCGTACAAACAATTTAAATGTAAACGCTAACCCGATTGTGAATTTATTTTCCGCAATAAAGATTATTAGCTAGGTTTACCGACCGTCGAATATAAATATTAAATACCTAGGTATACTATTCAGTTAAACGAAGTGCGTATACTTGAAACATAATAATATTTCTGGCCATTTATTACAATATAGAATATGTGTATACATAGTTTACGGTCGAAATCTACGTGATGTTTTACGTTTGGTCCGACAAAGATCTTGCGGTAACGTCATTACACGCGCAACCGTAAAATCCCAGGGTCATTATAAATTCACAAGTGTATACATATACCTATGCATTTGTGTGTATGGGTAATATGATTCGATGATGTTCGTGCCAAAAGTATTATTACGACGGAATATACCGCGATTATCCTTCTTCCGATGAAATGTCTAAAAAAAAAGATCTGAAACCTGTTGTTGATGGTTGCGCCACTGTTGTAGTTGGGCAGTTGGGAAAGTATACAGGATATATTATACATAGTTGATGATCGGAAAAATGTTTTCTGGCAAAAAACACGCATAATAGTAAAACTAAATAGCTCAGAATCAAAAAAAAAATCTGTAAAATCCGTATAACAGAGTATGATATAGGTAGTATATATATAGCATTATAATGCGTCCGAGCGTCGAATTCGTAAAAATACGACACGGATTTACATAATAAGAACATATTAGAATATTTTTGTTATTTACGACCTTGTATAATAAATGCATCGCATCGTTATTATTGTTTCGATTCAAATATACGATCTACATCACGATCATGACGGACAGCTGCAGTGGCAGCATATAATATGTTCAATCGTGTTCAAAATAACGTAAAATATATTACAATATCTAAATGATATATATTTTTATTTCAGTTCTTTAATAATGTAGGAATAAATATTAAGCATGTAGGAACCTACAGTGTTGACAAAATATCGTGTTCACTATGATTAATGTGTGCATATTATCATCAGTTATCATTAGGGTAGAGGACTTTTAGTTCTAAAAAGCTATACCAAATATGCACTTAAATACTTAAAATAAGCATTTATGTATAAAATAATATAACTCAAAATAAGCAGTTTGAAATTGAAAACAAGATTGATTTTTTTTTTTCCAAATATATTTACTAAATTTATTTTCCTTAGGCAGTTAACTTGCAGATACTTCTTCCAATTTTCAAAATAACAAAAAAGTATTTCTGTTTTTAAAATGTCCAAAATTAACACATAATCATTTAACACTTTAGGACCGAATTCAGACACATCATTATTTAATTACTAAGATTGATGTTAATAATTTAACTTAAGGCATTTTGTGAATAAAAATAAATTAAAACGCGTAGTCAACCGTTTAGAATCACAGAACACTAGAAAGTGAATGTATCGGTGTATCACGGGTCGAGGGGCGAGGAAACAGTAACAATCATGTTATATGATAAAAATTAAAAATAATTTTAAATCTAAACATTTTTATTGTAAAACTGAATGAAATAAAAACATCATTGAGAAAAATATTGATACAATTAAATAAAATATAGCTCAAAAAACATAAAATAGAAGAAATATGCTCTAAAAACAACAAAAACCAAATAAATGCATTTATATTATGTAAAATTAAATTAAAAATTAATTTTTTTTCTTAGCAATTAAACGTATTTGTTTCTTACTCTGCTATTTTTCTAATAGTACAAAACAAATATGCAAATGTTACAAGAGCACAAGGGTTCAATTATTGATAAAAATCTTATATTATGTCTTTAGAAATTTAGAAATATCGTGTTTTGCTTGTTCAAATTAATACCTATATGTGTACAAAATTAATTTGAAAAAAAAATTATATCAAATACCCATGTCATAAAACTAGACAACTACCCAAACCTAAATAACTACTTACCAATTTATGAATATTTTAAATTAAAACATAAGTTAACGTATAATATCATAGTATGCAGTAGCGTACCCAAGTGAGGGCGAGGGGTTTATAGGCCAAGAGGCCGTATTAAAATACAAACAAATAATACAGACTGTCAGCATAAACGTATATTTTAGTTACTAGTATAAAATACTCACCAAACACGAAACAATATATCCCAAGATTCACAATATTTTCACTAAATTATTCATAAACGAGTCGATACTAATATTTAGTTATTTTCATATATAGCATTCGCCCACCCCTAAATCTTAAAAATAATCGAGAAGCAACTGCTTTTAATAGATCGTTTTCGTTTCACCGCTGGACTTGACTATACGTATGTACATTTAACCATTATACTGCGCAATAATTATATTATGCATTTATGCAATAAGCAGGTACTTTTCAAAATAACCTCAAGAAAGGCTTTATACAATTTAGACACATTTGTTTGTATTATTTTGTTATATAATTTTCATTTAACATGTTTAACCTTCCCCCCCCCATTTGTACGCCGCAATATTGATCAGTAATAAATAATTAATAATTAATAATTTACGTATATGTTACTTGTGTACATTATGTTAATGTCAATTTATGTGTTCGATCAATTCCTACGGACTGATGAATATTATAACATGGTTCCTCGTATACCATGTGTACTAATTGTGTATACACATTTTGAATAAGTATGTTATATGAATATAATATGACTCATAGGTTATAATATATTGCATAGGCATAGACACAGGCACCTACCTACCTACATATTATTAGTGAAATAATGTAGGTACCTATAATTATGTGGCTATATGTAACAGTAACTGAATTACCTATAATTTAAAAAGCATAATGTTCCGTATTTACCATTTGTAGGTTATACACTTGTATAGGTTATAGACAGTACCTATACTATACAGTAATGTATTTTACCCGTAAGGTTAGGTACGCGAAGTATTTCAGCCGGATAAATTGAAATTGAAATGCGGGTTTTTTTTTTTTAAAAAAAAGATTGATGATACCAAAATATTACGCATTTTCTTAAATAAATGAAAACATATTATTTTTTTTTTTCGAAATTTTAAACAATTTAAAACGCACGATTTTAAGAGTGAGGAATCATTTAAATGATTAATTTTGTATGATAAAAAAAAATATTATAAGTAAGGATAATAATGATAAAATTACACACATACGTGCGTATGATTACATTGATTATATTGAAAAATCGAAAGATCAAAACAGTGTATACCTAAATCAAATCGTTTGAAAAAAGAAATATGAACATTCGAATTTGCTATTAAAAATATTGATGTTGAAAAAAGGCTCAAAATGTTTACTTTGGAATACCGGCGATAATTCTGAAATAAAAAAAAACCTCATTTCAATCCAAGTCCATCCGGTTGAAATACTTCGTATTGCCATTATTTGAGTGAACCACACAGTATAAACGTATAAAAACCAAAATATACAGCTTTTCTATTCGTTTTTCTATTAGTACGGGATGTACAACGATTTTTTGAACAACATATTGTCGGGTTTTCATTACGAGTAGGTACCTAAGAATCGTAAAATCGAAATGCAACCGTCAACATATTATGTTCTGCAACGAGTCAATATAGTACCTATAAATTACTATTAGAGTATAATAACATTGTGTACATACCTATATGTAATATCTACGATTATTGCGACCATACCCGATTGCTGAGAGGATTATTACGCACGATGACCTATATCCTTAAATTATAATATTATCGGGTCGACCTCTGATCGCATCAAATTTGTTAAGGTGTTTTTTTTTTTCTTTCTATTAGAGGTCCCAAATAGTTGCATAATACTATAAAAATATAAGCACACGCGATAGAGGGTCTTGTGGGAAGGTCAATTATACGCAGACGACGACGACGAGTGTGTTTATTGTTTTGAAACGCGTTTTTTATCCTACACGCTCGTTGTTATCGTCGTCGTGGTCGTAGGGGCCGAAACGTATATCATCGTCAATGATATATTGTACATAGAATGATTGCCAGCTGTAACCGAGTATACTTTACAAACGTAAGTAAAATACGCGCACTGCACACAGTATGAGATACGACGTTATATATTTACTTATAGTATTTCTATACAGTAGATTTTGAAATATGTCGGTTTTCACTTTCTACATATTTGCCGTTTGGAAATTTCCAAATTTCGCCTCTCCCGATTTTGACTTTACAAGATTTTATTTCCCCCCTATTTGGTAGGTATATACTACCTGGACAAGGTATGCAATGCTGCATACACAAAGCTGAGCAGTGAATTGTTAAAAAGTTAAAAGTTACTTTTGTTGATAACTTTGAACTTAACTACGGTTAAAACAAAAATAAAATAACAGAAAATAGCTTAGGTGATAGTTTATTTATTTTGTTAAAATGTAAGTTATTTACAATTTAAAAATAACAACTGTACCAATGTTTTTGAATTATTTTTTCGACGAAAATTACATATTTTAAAGTAAATATCACTAGAGTCCGAATTGTATGTAAAATGTTTTGATGCGTATACAATTTGATAATCTGGATAATACATATAAAAAGTTATTTTAACATATTTTTACATTAGAAAATATTTTAGCTTTTGGTAATATTTTTATTAAAGAATAATTTAGCATATTTTCGCTATATCGGATTATATTAGAGAATATTTTCGAGTCTTTAGTCTAGTATAAATTATTGTTAGTCATTATCGGCATAAAATATAACCACTTCTGGGGTCATCGGGCCTGCGAGATAGTTCCTGCGGGAACGGTGATGATGGTGGTTAGCGACCTGTGGATTACTAGATTTCTGAACGCCTTAGGAGCGAAGCCACTAGTTACCGAGCGGGTAGTATTCTCCTCGGAGTGGATGGGAAAGAAATAGCCACTTTATTCGCAAATTCGAAAACGACTATACATAACTTACGAAATTGCCAGATTATTTTGAAAATTTAATCACGTCTATAAAGAGCTAATATAAATCTTCGGTAAAAATGTCAGCTCGCATGTTTTTAATTTTATTACAACAAAAAACCCGAAAATAATAGAAACCGTCGTCATTGCGTACACTGTGCAGTTTTCACTACGTTTTTTCCCTATTTTTAAAAAAAACTACAAGAAAAATTAACAAATTACCTCATCATACATTAAATAGTCAAATTTCAATACCAGAAATCATCTCTGAAGTTGATGATCGGAGCAAGATTTCTGGTCGAAAAACTGATAACGAACATGAAAAAAAAAAAAAATACACAAGAAAATAAAACTAGTCCGCTCAAAACATAAAATATACTTGTATACATATCTATTTTTACAATATCCATATCGTTGGTATATATAGTGTTGCGAAACGTGCTGAGAGCAGAAATGTTCACATGCCCTTGTCCATATAACAATAACTAGGTACTCCAAGTACCTACTCGTATATTATATATCAAACATACTCAACATACTCTATATCTATATTATAATATTTTTCCGAGATTGTGCGTCTAATTGTAAACAAATTAATAAACTGACCTATCACGGGCGTTTACAAAAAAATATCTCGGGGAGTGTTTAAGGTTGTACGCTTTCATAATCTTATAACAATTAACAGAGAAGTTTACATATTTTCAATTATAGGATAGTTTATTTATTCATTAAAAATGTCAGTATTTAATAACATTCATTTTTGGCCTTTTAGGTACCTATTGGTAAATTTTACATTTAACATTTTTTTTAATAAATACAGTCTAAATGATAACGTAATTCATATTATTTTGGTGATAATGCGGACTATGAAATAACTCTGTATCAGTTATAATTTTCTAAAATCAGGAAAACCACAAAAATTTAGAAATGACAATAATAACATTTTACATTGGTTTTTAGTTTTGCCGATTTCTGGGTAACTAAAGCTATAATAAGGGGGAAAACCCAATTAATACTATCACCTAGTTCCATTCAGAAACGTTTCTTGAATACAATAAAGTGTATCATTGCTTTAAATGTATAAACTAAATAACTCAATATCCCATACATTCCAGATTTCCTACCCATAAAAGTGGCCTGCCCAAGACTGTAACTGGAAAATAATTTTGTGGGGGGATTGAACTTCCAATCCCCCCCCCCACAAGTACGGCCTTGGCCCACGGTATGAAGTATGTCAACGGTTTAACTAGTAGGTAGTATAATAATGATTACATTTTCCGAACTTATAGCTAATATTTTTAAAAAATATTCACGATTCACGATAACAAACCGGCAAAAATTAACAGTTAAAAAAACTCGTCAGTACAGGGGACATCAGAAATTCAGAACATTTGTTGGTGATATTTGTTGATCGATGATCGTGATAAATGATATGATGTTTCAGTGACGTCCTAATGATCATTATAAATACATCTAGATTTAGAATTAATTCAGTAATTGAATCGTTCCCGATAAAAATAAAGGCAATCCATTCAGTTGCTTTCAATAAATAACAAAGGGACACCTACGAACATTTATCCCAATCAGACCGTAAATTGTAAGCTTCTTTTAAACCTACGTAGCTGTAGGAATTATTATATGGAACAATTCGAATTCAACGGGTGACCCAGCACAATATCAAACACGGTTAATTTATTCGTCAAATACGTACAACTCGTAGAGCAACATAGTGTGCCTATATTCTATATTTTTAATAAATTGTTTACTATATTATTGTACAATGTGCAGTATAATGGTAATTCATTTTTTTTAATTTTTTGATAATAAAAATAAAATAATCATACATTTCTTTTTGTTCTTATACGAGTACACACTAGGCTATTTTTTTATCATTATTATTATTATTATTATTACCTATTTATATGATATTGTTAATATAATTCAAAATATTCTTTATCTCAGTCAATTATCTATTTGTCGTAAAAATACTGACATATTGCTTCCTCTCTAAATTAATTAATCACATGTTCCTCTCTCTTAGAACGTATTTCCTTAAATGTTCCTCAGTATTACGCACGTAGTTTTACATTCTTTGTCAAAAACCACCGTACAAATTATGGGTATAATAATCCCTTAGAAAGAATTTTGAGGATGGGAAATGAATCCGGAATCGATTTCTTTCATTTGTAAGTATCCATCGTATTTTTCCAAATTCTTATATATTAAAGCTTTTTAATTGTATTTTAACAAATATTATTGCAATTTAATACTATAGGATGTATGTCATATGTTATTGTATTCTGTTATGTTAAAATATATGTATTTATTTCTGTACTAAAACCTCTTTGGCGTTTATCTATCTAAATAAATAAATAAATAAATAATACTGAAATGACCAACGGAAGTAATTTTTGTCGTAGTAGATATGTATTTTGGCTTCATCGCCGATAATACAGCGCCCGAAAAGCCCAATCCAGCGTATCTAATAATTATAATTAAATAGTACCTAATAAGTGAAATTGCAAATTTGTACACAATACTGTATTATTATATCAGTGTAGCATTGCAAAATATTTGATTAATAGTATTTACATTTTTTTTTTTCAGTAGGCAGGTTGCTCTATATACATTTCCCGCCCTTTCCCCCCTCATGAAAAAAAAATTTAATTCATAATTATGTATAAATTACTAAAATTAAAGAATCGATAATCGGTGTAGATACGAAATTGCCCGGCGCAAATGTGTGGTGTGAAACTGGTAATAGTAAGTTGTAATATTATTTGTTTTATTAATATATATATTTTTTTTTTATATATAAAAGTGCAACTATTGTATAACACGCAATAATAATACATAATTTGAACACGCACCCAAGAATATGCACTGTTGGCAGATGTATTCATAATGCAGGTATTGATAACGTTGAGCACAAAGGTATTAGATATATTTTGTTTAGATTTTAATATTGAAATTCCGTAACAAAAACACATTTATGTAACAAACTGCAAGAACGAAAAACGAAACAAATATTTTCATTTTGATACGTTTCCCGATTTATAAAATTGCGTACCGACATTTATACTCGTCGATTGTGATGTAGCTGCATGCAGGGGACGGCCCGAGTGTTTTAAATATTTGTTAGATACAAATAAGTAATAGATTGCAGTTTAATGCACTTTTAATTTAATATAGGTATATCAGAATATCAGAGAATCTATACGGTTATTTGATCGTTTCACCGTTATAAAAGTAAGTTATGTAAGGATTTTTATTAGTTTTACGGTATTACGGCAACGGTGAACACGAATAAATAAACACCACGTGCGATTTGGTCAAAAAATACTCATTTCTTTGGGTGAAAATGTAGCCAGCATTCAGCAACCATGAGTAAATACTAAAAAATTAGTATAAATAAAAAAATACTCTTCATTAAACGAGATATATGTACGTATACGCACAAAGGAGAGGCTAAAAAAAAAAAACCATGTGAAACAAAAAACTCTCGTAATGAGCAGAAATCCGTCACTAGAGTTGAATTTTTCTCTACAAATTTTGTGTATTAGTAGAAATATTTTTGAAAAGAATAAATAACCAAACACCTACTATAATAATACAATACCTACTAAATACTGTACTACAATATAGTTGTGCGGCTTCCAAAAAAAATGGTAGAATTTGATCGTAAAAGGCAGTATCTTAATACTAACTAATCATGCGTGTTCAAAATTTCATCCCTCTGGGTGCATTAGAAGGAGTTTGTAAGGCTGTTCAAAGCTAAAAAAAACACCCTTCCCAGGCAACAACAATGGTTAAATTCACATTGAAATTCAACCAGACCATTATCGCCTCAATCTACCAACAGGCTATTAGAAATGTTCAAATATAACGGAAAGGGGGGGGAATAATTTATTTAATTAAAATAACAGACACAATACAGTGCAAATGCGCAATAGTAACGAAAATACTTGAACTATTGCTGGGCACTACTCCCTATACGAACATATCGTGTATGTGCGTTAGACTGCTAGAGATTAAAAACTGCTATAAAACCGCGGCCATTTTGTTTTCGTTGAGGCTTGAGTTTTCACGGTTTTTGCGACGGCATCATTTTGTAATGTATTCCCCGTTTGAGAATTTGGAAAAAACGTTAAGTGCAGGGGACTCTTAATGGACATACAATATATTTTTAAAATTACAAGTGTTTTGAATACCCATCTGTGCTCATCTGCGCTAAAAACAGAATATTTAGTAAACCGTAACTAGGGTCATGGTGTATACCAGACTGCGAACGACGACATAACTATAATCACCACCACGGGATTTTTACCACGGTTATATTATTAAATATGAATAATTCAAATAAATAATAACAATAATAGATTTTGCCATTAATTATGAATATTATTTATTATTCATTTTAATGATTGCGACTATGCAAACTTGGTCTAGCGGGACGACGAGTGCCCGTACCAAAATAATAATAATTTGAATTTAAATTAATTGTCCGAATATTAATTTTAATCCACAGAATTAATATTATTTTCCTTTCTGAAAAATATTACAAAAAGGTTTGTCGAGACAAATTCGTCTTTTTAACTCGTCTTGCATAACGCACTATAATATTAAACAAGCTCTTATTTATTTTTGTGTCAACTATAAATCATAATTACGAACTTAATTCTATTTGTTTTATAATTTTTATACATTTATAACTCTAGATAAACGTAAAACAGTAGGTATTTTATCAATTACGGGTTAAACGTATAAAGTTCCTGGTCAAAATAACGAAAATAATAACTCGTTATAATATATTTTAATGCAATTCAGAAGTAGGTACCTATGTATATAATATGCTAACAACCTAATATAACACGTCAGTAATCTCGTTTGTTCCACCCGATAAATACATATTCGATAAATAATAATTACCATAACCAAAGTAAACATCCTTGAAAAGGTTAATCATTAGTGCAATTTGTTTTCTTTTAAAAAGTAACAAAACATCGTTTAAATATTACAATATTGTTATTATTCGGAGTACACCAACAGAATGTACAAGACGTGTTTATTATGGTTTTTTGGTGTTCAACTGTTGTCGGTAACCGTAGCCGTCACTCCGTTACCACCGCGGAAATCGATTAAAACTATCGACTGCGGGGGACCTATTGCGTTTTCGGCGACTGGCAGTGGATCCGTGCACTCTACGGGCCTGATAGCGTACAAACAAAATGTTCTCAATCTGGCGGTTACGTGGGATCTCGAGGTCGGTGCCTTTACATGCGCCTGTCCTGGTCTCTATCAATTTTCCTTCTCCGGATCCACCCATGAAAATACAAAGTAATAAATGATAACCTACTAACTACACCTTAGATTCTATAGTATATGGATGAAGCCAAACACCGATAACTTGAAACACATATTAGCGACGAGTCTCTCGTTGAAACGAGCTATCTGCATATATGCAATAATTATTTTCCATGATAATTTAAGTAACTTACCTACATAATATGTAGTAATTAATAATTTATAATTTTTCCTATAAAAAAAACAATCTCAATATAAGTTATCGTTCTTGCATATTATTTAAATTTCACTAAAAAAAAATAATAAAAATAAAAAATATGTGCTTTAAGTAATACATTGGTAAAATATAGGCAATGACTATATCCATTTATATCACCTAAGATCTAAATCATAATTATTTACTAAGACATACAGAAAACAAAGTGATAATAATATGTTAATTGAAAATTCTTTGGTATAATAGGATGGTACTGCAAAAAAAATTGAACGGCGGTAAACAATGGTCATCAATTTTAGCAACGAAACCTGGTGGTGGATCAGCCACCATACTTTTAGATATTGATCACGGAGATCAAGTGGCAGTATTTTTAGATGGAGAACCAAAGATATTCAATACTAGACACGAACAAGGAGTAGGAGTTACATCGTTCAGTGGTTATAGAGTGGCGAAAACTTAATACAGAACAAAACTTAATAGTTTAAATAACATTAAATAATGATTAATGATTTTTAACATTTAGTATAATATACTAATGCAAAAAAAAACCGACTGGAATTCATACCGAAAATGTTAAGTTTAATAATTCTTAGTTATATTAGTATATATTTCTAAAGAAACATGTCTAAAATAGTGTTGATGTTACTGGTGAGTAATTATTGTTTGTTAATGTATTATATATATTAACTATTATCACATAATATTATAAAAATAATTTTAACTTTAAATTTGTTAACTCCTCAAATTATTTTATGTAATTAATAAATAATATTAAAAATGCATAACGACCGTGTTAATAAAAATTGTTTTAATACGAAGCTCTTAATATTTGATTGTATTTACATTATAAAAATAGCAATAAATAAAAAAATTTTACAGCGTATCAAAATACATTAAGTAACTCGCATTGAAATTAAACTTCTAACGGGCTAGTAACAGAGATTACTGATATATAATAATAATAAAAGGAATAATAACCAAATAGAAACTGAGCGACAACAAAAAAAATAGCTAATACAGATGTTAAAAATATCGTTGCACTTACAAAATTATCATTTCAATTTTAAATTGACTATAAAAGTTGATTTATTAATATAAAATATAAAATTAAATATGTAATAAAATAGGTTTAATAATTAAATTAATATTATGCATTCACAGCTATTTAAAATATTTGTTTGGGATAAAAAATTAGAATTAAATAAATGGCACCGTGCATTGGACCACAAATTAGAATATTGAATTATATTATAAATGAAGATAAATATCTAAATATTATAATATTAACACATATAATAATGAATATTAAATAAAAATATATTAATTAACATTTTAATCATTCGTATTAGTTTACCTAATTTAAAGCTGTAGATGTTAATAATGCAACACCCCTTTCATAAAACGTATGATGGTCTTGCCCGGGAGCTACATCTAATTCTACGGTGAATAATAATTCAGATCGGGTAGAATTTAAATAAACTGGTAGAGACAGTTTATTAGGTCTTATGTGCTCTTCTGCTGATACACTAAAAAAAATTAATTTAGATTTAAAACCATGTTTAAATAAAAAACTGAATTCATACAGAAAAGTTACTTACTGTGTCCATCGTAACAAAGTGACTGGTAAATCGGTCATTATGGATGAAGTTAATAATAATTGATTATTACGACATTGTGCACCCTGCAGTTTTAATCCTTTAATCATGAAAAAAATAATTAATACTAGAATTAAATAATGTTTAGATATCTTACCAATCACACCGAAACTACATTCATCTTGTTGCACTGAATCATACTCAAATGAATCAGTAATGGTAACATCTAATATTAATTCTTCCAGTGACCAAGAATTAGCTTGTGCAATACATTGTCTAGTAGCGGTAATGTAAGCTTCTGGATTTAAAAGACCCCCAAGCCACACTGGAAATGACTAACAAATACATTTCATTAAATATTGTGCAATACTTATTATTTAATTATTTGAAAAAACTTACTTTAATTTGATTGGCACCTCGTTGAGAAACTAGTTGTGATACTTGTTGCAATTGTTTCACACGTTGACTAAAATCTGACACCCATTGGATTACTGAACAGCCACTTGGCACTGTGTAACGACGCCAACCAATTGGCAATTTTCCTTTAACCAAATCGCTTAATAATTTTCTATGATAATTGGTTTGTTTTTTTTCACTCTATAAACAATTTCAAAAAAAAAAAAAAAAAAAATTAATAATAATCAAAAAGTTTATTTAAAAATAAAAAAGTAAGTTCAAAATATTTAATAATTCAGATAATATTAACATACTTGACATATAGCTGCTACTTCATTTAAATCATGTATAACTTCTTGTAATAGTTTTGAACCAAAGTTTACTTCTCGTTCGAAATATCGATAAAGTGGATCTTTGATATTTTCTACTGTGCGTTTTAATGTCTGTAGTGATTGGGGTAAAAGTTGTAACCAAGTAGTCGTTGAATTATGCAATGTCCTCATCCAAGCTGGACGGCCATCAGCAGCACATACATTGGAATCAGGACCTCCATCTTTACCAGCTTGTTCAGTAACATATGCAAGTTCGTCTTCATCTTCTAGTTGTTGCATTTTCAATAACTTACTTACCAAATCAGTACCTATTTAAAATATTGGTTAAGAAAGTGATCATATTAATTTTGATTAATGACTATATTATATTCATTAATCAAAATATACAAATTATTACCTCTAGTAGTCAAAAGTACTTTTTCAGCGTTATTAGGCAATCCCAACCATGATGGCGATTGTCTATCCGATAGGTTTTCAATCCAATGTAAAAAGTGATCTCTTCTTGACCCATTTGGCATTGTGATATGTCTAAAAGATGTCATTAAATAAATAATAATTAATTTAAAAAAAAAAAAAAACAATTCTATATTTTAGTACCTATTATCTCCCCCGACTCCATCAACATTAGCCACTAATGCAAATCCTGTTTCAAAACTCCGTGCTGTGAATAACTTGCCTAAGAATGATGCCAACAGTCTTTGATCATAATCATTATCAATTTTGCCGCCATAAATACATTGAGACAATAATGTAACTAATGCGTCCCAAGGAATTTTTTCGGGCGGTAAATTTGTACGACTCTATAAATGTAAAAAAATTAACATAAATTAAATTTAAACTTTTTTTTTAGTAAGAAATACTTTTGCAGTTGTTTCAATCCATGTATCTAAAGTATCACAAGCAACTCTTAAATCCGATTCATTGAACTCGTAGTGTTTGGCCCAACCAAGTGGTGTGTAACGTAAACGTTCTTGAACAATAGCATGGAACCATGCAAGTAAAAAGTATAATCTAGCTCTTTCATTGGGTACCTTCATCATGCGTGATGCTGGAATCTAAAACAACATAACATAACAATAATTTATTTCATTTTTTGGGAATAATTATTTTTGTACACTTACAGTATTAAATGTACGTAATAAATTGGCTTTAACACCAGGTGGTGGTTCAAAAACAAATATGCGCCCTGCTCTTAATAAATTCACAGGTACAGCAGAATTAATTTCCATAGTTAAAAATAGTCTGAAGTTAGTATGTGGTTGTAAACTATGTAATTTCTTTTCAAGTTGAACAAGCCATTGTGGAGCCAGATGAACATTTTTCAATAACACCCATCTTAAATAATTAAAAAAAAAAAATTAAAAATCATGGTATATAGGAAAAATTTTAATAATATATTAGGTACCGTCCAAGTCGAACTGCAGAATTGATGGCATCAGTAGCTTGACGGAAACCTTCAGCAGAACCAATTGCCACTGATGATAACAGTTGATTATGTTGAGTAGCAAGATCATCAACTCGACCAGAAGCATCATATCCAGGAGCTGAGCACAAAAGTGCTGGAACACTACAATCCAGTTCATTCAAAACAATTGTTGCCAAGTCAGGTTCACGTTCTGCTGAGGATGTTAATTGTGTACCTAGAGTGGCCTCGACAAACAAATTAGCCGAAGCTATGACTCTATCTGGCCTGAATGCCTAAACAAGATAGAAATGTAATAGAATAAAATACAATTTTATATTAAATAAAAATTAATGAATCATAATTATCAAAATCAATAATTGTAAATTATGATCAAAGATGATATAAAAAATAATATTAAAAACTTAACTGAACTAAATTTCAAAATTAATTGTAGACTTGAATTAAATATGTGTTATGCAAAATAAAATTTTTTTATTTTATCCTATATGTTATTTTAAATGTATTTTACCCTTCGTAGATTGAAAATTTATTAATTTTTCTTTAATTTTATACTTAAAAAAAAAAAAAAAATGTTTTTTTGATTAAGGGAGCATTATCCCACCACAAATATGTTTACAGGCATAAACGGTTAATTATTAGATTTTTTAATTGTACTTTAAAAATCAATATAAATCAATTTCATATCAGATAAGGGTGTACGAGAAAATAATTCAAATTGTTTTTATTTTAAATCATTTTTTTTTTTTAGTTTATAGACAATCTAGCTAATGAAATCTTAATAAAAAAATGAAAATAAAAATACATACTTGTATAGCAAGTAGTTGATACATGGCAGTAGCTACAGGGCTAAATGGAGTTGATTCATCCCATAATTTAGGCACACATTGTTCAGGTGTATTCTGTGCAAGCCATGGTCCAAATTCTGGCATCTCTTCAACTCGGTCTGATAAACTTTTAAATGCCGTTATTCTGTGTGATAATCTTATCATAGCTTCAATTTGTTCTTGATTCAAGCTACTTAGGGAACCCTGTCCTGATGAATTATTGGAACTCAAAACACCTTCTTTACCTCGAAGGAAAAATTGAAACTCTGAATCTAATGTACTACCAATAGGTGATCCCTTTAAACTGATGCGACATAACAATATTGCTAAAGTTAACCTATCATTATGCAACATTCCTCTGGCTACTCTCTCGTAACATACCTGGAAATTTGTAATTCATTTTTTAATATTAAAATATATAAAACATTTTTTTAAATTCTTACATTAAATAAATCCTTAGTCACAATATCTAATCGAGATGTATGATCAGTGACAGATGCCAATCTAGGATTGGATAGTAATACTGAACTGAAGATATCCAAAAAGAATTTTAATGAATATTGATAGAGGAAATGAACTTGATTTAAGCTGTCCATGGTAAAGTACATATTACTGCAAGCTTGTGCTAAAGGCTTATACTGCTGCGAAACAGTTTCGATCTCAGCAATAACCTTATCTGTTTCTTCAACTTTTTTACTTATATCAGCAGCTTCTTGTTTTAATCTCTCCAGTGTTGTTATTACAGAATCATTATCTAATATTTTACCTTTGGCTTCATTTAATGCTTGCAACAATGATTTCTCTAATTGTCTTAAACGCAAATGGAATTCGCCTAAAATAGTACAGGTTTGTATTAAGTACACACTGTGTACATTTATTAATTAACAAACACTCATACCTTGTAATTTGAGTAAATCGGATCGTTTAGTGTCTATATCAGGTCTTTCAGCCTTCAGTACACGATCTAAGCATTGACTTTGTAATGATGATCTAGTTACTGTAAAGTTGACAAACATTACTCTAGAACATATGTCTGGTGAAAATTCTACTGTTGGATCACGAGTAGACAAAAATATGACAAATTTTGGTGACAAATCAATATCTTGGTCTCCCAGTGTTATTAGAACACGGCCACCAGTGCGGCGAAGTTCTCTGTTTAACACAGGATTTAAAATTGGATCATAATTTTCAACATCCTAAAATATTTAAAAAGTATTACAAAAATTATTTTTACATATTTTCTATTATGTTTATAGATCAGTGTCAGATCCCCCCTTCCTGTTCACTCGCTAATAGTCTTAACTTGAATTATCATAAATGTTTGCTTCATATAAATTTGAACTCCCTAACCCCGATTATTTTATCCTAGATCCGCCCCTGTTATAGACACAATAGTCTAATAATTTGTTGGTACCTTTATTCAACAAATATTCTCTAGAAAATAAAATACATGGTATACTAATTGTTATGAAAAACATTACCACTAGGTAAATATAATACAAATCAAACAAAAAGCTTACTTGAACAAGTAAAGGATTTCCAAAACGCAAAGCAGATTCTAAATTTTTTCTAAACGAATCATCCAAGAAACTAGTTTTTGTTATTTTAGCATCTGCATACTCCTTAAGAATAAATTCCGTAGCTTGTCCTGATGGATCGATTATTAATGGATATCTATTGTATCTCTGGATTTAAAAAATATTAAATATTATTTAAACAACAATAAAAAATGTTATTATTACCTTTAACATAATAGCATTTTCTGTACACAAATCATCAGTGGGTAATGAATTAGCGTGCCAACGAAGTCTTTCATCAGGGTTGGACAAATATTCAGTTAATGCTATATCTGATCTATATTGAATTCCAGCTAAATACAAATGTTGACACCATGTAGTGAACAGATTTTGTCGATACTGAAATAAATAAAACAATCATACATTACTAATTCTTCCAAAATAATAAATAATAAATTGTGTACAAAACATACGTGTTGATCAAAATAACCAGCATATGCTAAATATGCAGATGATAATAAAACATCTCCTATGATTGTGGCCATCTGAGATCTGAAAGTATCTCTAGTACACTCCCATCTTTCCCTTTCAATCACCAAAGATTTTAAAAGAGCAATCGAACGATCAACCTAAAAATATATATTTATTTATGAAAATAAATAAATAAAGAGCTACAAATAAATATTATAAATAATAATAATCATACTTTGCTCTGGACATTTTCTAAATCAGATTTAATTGCTTGAGCTTGTGAAATAAGTTGTGCATATTCTTCTTGGTATTCAGTAATAGTTTGTTCTAATTGAGCAATAAGTGCTGTAGTTTCTTCATTTTTAACTTTATTATCTGATGCTTGATTTTCAAGAGATTTCAATTCATCCCTTAATGGTTCTACTTTTTTTAATACATCAGCATAACTTACCTATACATAAATAATACTACTTAGTAGGCAAGTTAGGTTTATAAATTATAAATAAAATATATTTTATTTCATACCTGCGCTATAGCCCATTTTACCATGGGACCACAAGCCATACTAGCACGATTAACTTTTTCAAATGTATAATCTGGATTGTTCAAATACCTGCTGTGCATTTTTTCACGAACATCGTCACTGTAAAAAAAAAAAAAAAAACAATGTTTTTAATCAGTACACAATATTAATTTATTTTGTCACTTACGAAATATTTTCTGTACTAAAATTAGTAACAATTGAATTAATGAAATTTTCCCTCATAACAACTGCTCTGATTGCTTTCCAGTCTGATGCATTTTCTCCAAGTAATAAACATATAGATTCCAATGCTAACTTAACAACTGCAGGTGGATTTGCCATTGATCTTACTTCAACTAATTGTTGTTTCTTGATTTCCTTTACAGCTAAAAAGAAATGATTTACAATGTATAGTTATTTAATTAAAATAATACATTTTAATTATAATTTACCTTGTTGAGCGTCCATTACAGCAGGTTCAACATGTGCAAGATCAGCCATCACATGTTCTCGTTTTTCTGATATCAATACTTGTTGTGCCTTGATTTGTGCTTGTATTTCTTGAGATTGTACTTTTCGCTTCTCAGCTTCATGTTGTTCTTTAAACATCTGCTGTAATTTAGCATTGGCTGCCTCATTTTTGGCATTCAATTCGATTGATTTGACTGCCAATGATTTTTGCATCTCTTCCACTTGTTCAACAGTTTCAGCTATTTTTGATAAACCTACATTTAAATGAAGTTGTTGTTCTTCAAGTTCAGCTCTTTTCTCTTTGTGTAATTTCACAAAATGATTAATAAAGTCTAAGTAATGCCTAGGGGTAATTGCCATAGTTCGTGAGCCTCTTTTTACTAATCGGCTATTTGCTTTGTGTAAAGTTTGATGTACATAAACAAAAGCATTAACAACAGCAGTGCGATAATCAGGTATACTGGGAACTAAAGAACAAGCTGATGGGAAAAAATCAGGAGCTTTCCACATAGGTGGTCCATCCAAATCGACAGCTCGAGTAAATTCTTGGCCAACCTATTAAAAATGAAACATATATTATAAAATTTGATATTAAATTTATTTAAAATATTTACTTGGAATAATGCTGTATCTGACCAATCTCCAAACCAATTAAGAACACATCTGTTAAAAAGTGCTGGTGAAGTTGCTGCTCTGTCTTTTAGTCCTTCAGAACTGGGGTTCATTGTAAATACAACATGCAAATTTCGCATTACTTGACCAGTGAACCATTTATAAAGTTCTTCATTTGAATCCAACATCAAACCTTCCCTTTGACTTCCTTCTTTACACTGAGTCATTAATGTAGTATATTCATCTCCTAATGAACAATTTATATAAGTAAAATTTAAAACACTATTTTAATAACATATATACCTTCGAATAAACCAGGAACTTCTCCGTTAGCTAACAAAGTATTCATGCGTTCTAGAAAACCAGACTCTAATACATTTGATTCGTCAAGTATAAATGTAATTTTTTCATTTTTACATCCTGATCTCCTCAACACAGCCCTTAAATCTTCATCAAAGTCTTCACTTGTGTATTTATTATGAACCTAAAAAAGAGTGAGTAATTATAATAAACAAAATAGCAAATATCAAAATAATTACATTTTAAGTATTGAGTTAATTTGTATTTAAACAAATTATAAGTATTTGAATCAATTATTTGTATCGTAAATGTTTAAAAATATTTTCAAAACTATATTTTTAAATATTGGATATGTTTGATTTTAACTTAAAAAGTAAAATTTCTTTTTTCATCATATTATATATTTGTTAAATTGTTTATAAATTTTTAAAAAAATGAATTATTAAATAAATAAAATAAATATATTTAATAATTAATAATCAACAATTAATATATGAAGTTTTTAATAGTAAAAAATTAACTTACTCTTATTTGGAACACTGAAAGACCATTCATAAATGCCACAAACCGTGATAACGTGGTTTTTCCAGCTCCAGAAACACCAATTAACAGCAAATGACCTTGAGGTTGTCTGAATATTCTATCAATTCTTAATACATGATCCAATACTTCATCAAAAAGTACAATTTTAACATCCAATTCTTCTTCATAAAATACCTATTAAAATTATTATTATAAATAAATAATTACTAACTGACAAAAACCACACAATTATTCAATATTATGAAAATAATAACATATATACTTTTAGTCTGGCAGCAACGTAATCGCGTAAATGTTTTCTTTCAACGGGTACATAGTCTTTGTGTAACCAATTACTATAAAGTATAGGTCTTTTAAGAGCTTCTTCTTTGTTAATTCCAGGGAAGTGTTTCATACCAACTATATCAATATTGTCATTTGTCCATTGACGTTCAACATCATCCACTAAACGATCTTGAAACAAACGTAATGCTTCATGTGCCCAAAGACGAACTAAACCATCAACACTTAATGTTTCCAAAGGTCTAAAATATAATAAATATTAAATAGTGCAATATAAATCTTACAATATTTATCTTTAAAGAAGAATGGATTATTAAATATTATAGTGTGACTTTTCAAATAATGCATGAAACATTGCTCTCGACTAGATAAGTAATCATGGTAGGTATTACAGCGATTCACCAAATGATTTATCTCCAATTAAAATCATTAAATCAAATTTTTAAAATCCATATTTATTTATGCCAATAATAATTATGTGAAATATTTTAAAAGATAATAAAATTACCTAATCGCTTCACAAATTCCTCTAACCCAACGGGTCATTTCTCTAGGAGAGTAAACATAATGAGGTTGCATGTCTTGGGTAAAACGATCCTGGGATGCTAAATAAAATTCAACCATAGCATTTGTCAAAGGCTCTGCATAACCACGAAGTGTAGGAATTAATCGTAGCATTGCTCTGCTGAAGGTTCCATAAATCTATACATTTTTTAAAATTAAATAAATATATATATTTTAAAAGACAAAGTAAACATGTTTTGAATACAAAATTATAATTTACCTGTTTTAACGATGTTTCACCAGGATAGTCAACATATATTACTGGAACATGGCGCAAAAATCGATGAGATAACGGTTTTCTACCAGGGTCTGTTGGTGGGTTACATGCTCCAACAAATTGTATTCTCTCTAAAGACACCCAAGCTTGATCCCCTGTTGGTCTAAAATCATATTCATTTAATAATATATAATAATCCTAATTTTATATGTTCATTAACATGTAGAAAAATAATAATAATACATTAATAACAAATTTAAACAATGGGAATGCAAGGGTTGTTCTGTCAACCTGAACTAGTAGGTGTTTTCTTAAGATTAGTGATGGTTAGGTAAATCTGCAACTAGGTGACCATTAACCAAATAGATAAAAATTAAAAAAACTTTACTGTTTTTGAAAACTGTGATTTATTTAATAACAGTGTAATATTTACATAATAATATTAATTTTAAATATGAAAGGAGGAGATGTGAGATCTTTTATCAATAAATTAGTCAGATATCACCAGACTCACTCATGGTGTTAATGTGCACTACCCACTGTATATTACCAAAGAAAAAATAAATGTATAATTACTTGTAAAAACCTCGCCGTTCTACTAATTGTCGGAGGAATGAAATCACTCTTTGAGTACCATAGTTATCCATATCAGGCAAGTTAATTTCATCACAAAATAATACTAACCATTTTCCAAGCTTTAAACCAAACAATAAACTTATAAATATAAACAAACTAAATGTTAATAACAATAAATATTTATTAATCACTTGAACAGGAGAAAGAACAATTCCATTAGGTGTTTTTTTGTATTCACAATAATGATCAAAAGTTTTCAACAAAAGTTCTGGTGTGGTTGCTGATGAAAAATTCAAACCAACAACTTCCATATCAGGTAGAGCTCTTAATGCGGAGAATAAAGTCATAGTTTTACCAGAACCAGGAGGACCGCATAAGACTATTACATTTTATAAAAAAATAATTTTTAACTATTTTATTAATAATTAATAGCTATTAACTTACCTAAAGGTTTATGTTCTGCAAGCCAAGTATAAAGTAATGTCTCATGCCTAACAGTGTCTAAAGTAGGAACAACAACATCAGGTGATGCAACTTTGTGAGTTTCAACTTCTACTTGTGGAACTCTACTTGACCAAGGAACCCAATCACCATGAACATTAACCTAAATAAGAGTAAACTTATATGAAACAAATAAGATAATAAGTTAAATAATAATAACAGAACTAAATTAACATGTATTTTGGAGAATAATTATAATAATAATGATTACTATTTTTAATATTCTCAACATTAATGATAATATCTAAAACAAAAAATATTCGTTAAACCAACTTTGTGTTAAAAACATACTTCGTAATCAATTATATTCTCAGTCATTGGTGGCAAAGCTACAGTTGTCACAGATCTAATAAATTCCCCAATATCAGAACGCACTTTCAATTTAGCATCACCAGCGAAACTCCATAACAAAGCATAAACTAAACATTTTGGAATATACTGTTCGAGTTGGTCATGTGGAAGTGGAAAATCTGAATGAGTTCTATTATACTGAAGAACATTTCTGAAAACCAAGTTATAAATACAAATTGTATACATTAGTAATTTTTTACTTAAACCATATTATACTATATTATTGAAAAATTACCTAATACTTTGATTAATCATAGAAAAAAGTGATCCAAGAGCTCTTAATCGAGTAAAGTCCATAATATGTTCTTGTTTAATAGCATATTCTAAACATCGAACAACTAAACCATCAGATGACAAATGTGGTTTCAACATTGTGACAATATCTATTTGGATCTATACAAACAAAAATATTTCTATACAAAATGTTTAGTTTTAAAAACAATATATAATATTCAAAATATACCTGTAATGATGGTGATACAAACTGATCAACTGCAGACCCTGATGCAGCAGATAAAGGTTGAGGAATAAGTGACATTGAATCTTCATCACCTTCATCAATTGGTATACTCATTAAACGGCTCAAGTAATTTTCAAATATCATTTCGGTCGTTAAAACATCTTCACTAAACCAAATCATACCACACCGAGATACAGTAGCAAGAGTGGCATATTTAAGATCTTGTACCTTAAAAAAAAAATGTTTTAAACAAATTTAGTAATAATTTTGTGAACATTTAATCAAATATTTAATTTTTCAAATGTTCAAATAATTACCTCAAACATAATTCGAACATTGGGTGGAAGTGAAAGACGTTCTCCATTTGGCAATGTTAACAATTTATTGTCATCCAAAACAGAATTCAAATTTTCAACCCATTCAGGGTCAACATCACCATCAAAAATAATCCATTGTCTTTTATTTATTTCCCCTCGAACATTATCAACAATTTTCCTAAAGTATTGATATTTTAGAATACACTATATTCCTGGCATTAAATTAAATCCACTTATATTGTGCCTACCTCAATATATGTGTAAACAAACCATCTGTCCATTCCCTTGTATTAGGGTCTAAGGCACCATACAATGCTTCTTTAGATATAGCTTTTGGATCGATTACATGAGCTTGACCTTCCATTCCATCCATTCTTTCCAAAGCTTTTAATAATACTTTCCAAGCACTAGATTTACCGGATCCACTTGGGCCAACCATCATTAAGCCATGATTCAATTCACATATTTGATATAATTGCAGCACCTTAAGTTAAATATACATTAAATTGACATATGTCCAATATGTTATCTGTATAACTAACAAAATCAATAAATTGATATTTAATATTATTAGTTATAAAACAATTATTTTCAAAAATACCTTTTGTATCCAAGTTTCCCCCATATAACACTAAGTAAGCGTGAAAAAGTAAGCATAAAAAAAATGAATTTATAAAATATTATGATTCATAGATAGAACACATGTATTACCTTTTCCATCCAAGGGCCACCAAGCTCGTCATCCTCACCACAGACATAGTATTCTTCTTGGCATACTTTTTTTATTTGATCTTTCAATTCTGAAATTTTTTTTGTAATAATAAGATCATTCAGATTTTATATATTTTAAAAAGATTATTAATCACCAGTCATTTGAGCACGTTTATATTGAACTTGAGGAAATACATCATTTAATAATGAAAATAAAAGTGGAATATCTTCTGCGACAAGTTTAGGAACCATTGTTTCACACACAGATTGAATCAATATCTACAAATAATGGAAACAATAATGAAAAATGTCAGTTATAAAAAAATTAAATATATATTAGACCTCTTGTTCTGGTAAATTTTCAGCAATTTCAGCTTCATTTAGACTATGCCTTTCAGTTGTAGCACTAATACCTTTAATACGTTGAATACGGTCTCTTTTGACATTACCCGCAGATACTAAAACAGACTTTAATGCACGTAATCCAAAATCATAATGAGATTGATTAGAAAGCTGTTCATCGCACAATCTAAAATTTATTAAGTTGATAAGTTGTATTCATTTTAATTAATTTAAAAAATATATTTACTTGAAAAATGGAACAATTTTACATGCAAGTTTCTCAGCTGTACGGAAACCTTGTGAAAACAACATAACTTCAGCAATAAGTTGTCTATCAGGTTTAGTCATGGCTAATGATCTAAATAACTTTTTCAGATTGTCTGGAAGATTTGAACGTCCAGCATAACCAGGATTCATGGTTATGAATATTGCCATATCTGTAGATACTCTAACTTGTTTTCCGACAAGTTCTACAGTAATATCTAAAAACACAAATATTCAATGAAAATACAAAAATATTAAAGTTTTCAAAATGTAAAATAAGTATAAACATTGAACTAAAACTATTACAACGGTTTTAATATTATGAACTAAGGAAAATATTTTAAAATTTAATTTCAATATCATCCAAATTATTTTAAAATGATTGTCAGCAGTATGACATTCAAAATTGTACTGACTAGTTTTCTTAGAATCCATTTGAGATTTCAATGCTTCCTGAATTGTTTGTATCTGTTGTGAGACAGCTGATAACATTCTTTCTTCCAATCTATTAAATTCATCAAAACATCCCCAAGCTCCCACTTGACAAAGACCAACAAATATACGTCCCATAGCTTGGAAATCAAATGTTTCGTCACAATTGAATACCAAAACAAAACGTCCCAACTGGTGACCGAGAGCTTTAACAGATTCAGTCTTACCAGTACCAGCAGGTCCTAAATATAACAAGGTTGGTTAAAATGATGTCAATACTCAAGAGAAAAATTTTAATAACTACCAAACTAACCAAATGGTGATCCTCCAAGTCTAGCTTCTAAAGCTTGTGTCATAGTTAAGTAACATCGATCAGTTAATGGAGTTTGAACCAATCTATCTTGCACACCAAGATATTCAAATCCATAGTAGAAATTAGCATTAGCCATTTGAATCGTAAGCTGTTTTAAAACATCAGTCTGATTAGGATCTAAGTAAAAACGCATTTCACAAAGCCATTCAAATGAACGAGGACTAGATACTTTTCTTGAAATTAATCTTCTAGTGATCATGCGTTTATGAACATATTCATTAATCTAAAAGAAAAAAAATAATTATAATAAATGTTAACAATAAAATTTAAAGTGGCCATTAATAGCAAAAAATAAACATACTAAATACTCTAGTTTTTTTCTTCTTAAAGGGGGTTGCTCTTGCAAAACAGAATCTGCTAAAAAGTTTAATGATGTCTCAACTTGAGCTAAAACATTTTCTAATGGTGTTAATTTAGGTGCAGAACCATTTTCATTTTCACATTGAGCTTGAATTTGGTGTAAAGCTGTTTCTATATCTTCGCTCCACAAAATTTGAGCAGATAAAACAACAATTTGTGCTTGATAATTATCACACCATGTCATAAAAGCATCATGATCAATGGTGTCTTGTTTAAATTGTTTGCTATTATTAACTGCTTCACCCAAACGAGAAGCCAATGTGAATCTCATTTCCTTCTCAACCAACGTAAGCCATTCATTAATTTTAGGATGGTCAGTTGTAGATATGGGATTAGTAAATAAAACTTCCTCGCCTTCACGAGATGCAACACCCAGAATATTTGTTGAAGTTTCATCTAAAATTATAGCAGCTACACCAGCAAACATCTTCTTAAAATGTTTTTGCAGTCTTGAAATATTTTTACTATTTCCAATTATTTCTAAAAGATCTTCATCGCCAACAAAATAAAATCTTGGGAAAGACATTCTTTCTCTTTCTAAATACTCTCCAAGAGCCTTTTGTATTTTCCCTAGTAAATCAGCTAATCTTTCAAGTGATCGCTGTACTCCTTGAATATTAAGAACATCAATAACCATTCTTGATTTTGAAACCTTTTTCATTAGACCCAAAAAATCAGAACTGAGAAAAAAAAATTTAGTTTTTATTAATCTAACTAAACAATAAATCTAAAAAAATTGTATTACCTAATATTGTGGAATCGTGATGTTTCAACAGGTAACAAAGTCTTAATATCAGCACTTCCTGAAAATATGCCTTCTAAATATACCCAACGTCGCTGTACATCAATCCAAACATCAAAAAGAGTATTTATTCGATTAAGCTTTTCTTCCCATGTTAATGCTTCTTCTTCAAAAACCTGAAAGTTTAAATTATATTTAAAATAAAATAAAAATAAATAAAAAAATGTATGTTCTAGATCACAATAAGAAAACTCTACATACATAAAATGGTTTTTAAGGACATTAGCACTTGTGGTTACAATAAATATAAAATAGTTTATAAACAAAATACCAAAACATTGTGTACAGTTTAACCAAAAGTAACTACAAACATTACTTTGAACAAATTGATCCTACTTACTTTGTAATAAGGTGATAACTTCATAGCTGCTACAGAATTGATATGTTCTTTGACAGTATTAAAAAGTTCATCCCAACCTCTTATTAGACGGCATTTATTTTGATAATTTATTAGGTCTAAAGAGTAGGATTGCCAAGTATCACGGACCTAGTTGAGAAAAAAAAATTGTTTTATAAAAATAAAATGCAACATAACCTAATTATATTCAACAAAGTGTGTGTTTATAAATATTTAAAATTAAAATAATTACATAATAGCTTATTTATTATTATTTAATTAATAGCTAATTTTAAAATAAATTAAACAATCCAACCAAATAAAAAATATATTAATCAGTGTATTTAAATCCATTGAGGCAAATTTTACATTTTCATAAAATCTCAATTTTTATACAAACAATAATTTATTAGTTAATTTAAATAATATAAATTTTAAAACTAAATTCAGTTTTCATCGAGTCAAAACTAAACTTATTATACTGAGAAAAATGCAAAAAAACATACTTGTTTTAAAAATTCTTCTAAAGCCATTTCTCCTTGTGCAGTCATAATGATATCTTTAACAACTGCTTCATTTGCTTGTAAATCTACATCCCAAATTTGACCCAATGTTATATCAGAAAAAGTCCAATTTACGCGAAGTTTACGCATCAATTGTTTCCAATGACGGTCTTTTAAAGCATCAGATTTTAATTCTATTACAGTCATGTTGACCTATAAAAAATACATTTTTATTTAATAACTCTAAATAACTTTTTAGTATTTTGAAATATTTGTGTAAAACTTGTAATAATTAAATTTATTGAAACTTATACTAGATCATGATTTTTAAAAATTTTAATATTAAGAATCTTATATGTCTTAGAAGGTAATATTAGATAATAAATTTTAAATATAAGACGTATGATATTCAGAAAAAGAATGAAAAATAGAGAAGTTAGCTTACCTTAACATAACTATGCAAAAGTTTTTTAACATATTCATATGAAGAATATTGTCTAAACCGAGCAGGTAATTCTTTTAATTGACTAGTTAAACCATCCAATTGTTGACGAAGTTTTCTAGGTTGAACTGAAAGCCAAGGTTTTTCTCGAATTTCATCAATCTGTACCCATATTTTTGAAAGTTCAGACCAAACACCTTTAAGATCTTGCATTTCTTCAAAAACAACAATCATGCGATCTTCTGCACTTGACAATGCACTACCTAAAGTTAAAATAAAAATCATTGTTGATATAATTTTACACAAATAAGTGTTTTTTTTTTTTTTTAACATTTATATTATATACCTGCTGGGTCTTTAAGTTCTAATGCTTCTTTAGCTTTAGCTACATTATCTCTTTCATCTTTAATGCGAGTAAATTTATTTTCAAATACTTGTAGTTGGGATAAAGCATCATCAGGTTGTGTGTTTCCAGCTACTGGTTTACCCTGTTCCCATTCTAAAAGGAAATCATTGGTTCTGGTTTCTACAGCTTTATTTTCGGCTATTATCTTCATTTGTAAACTTTGCACCTACAATTAAAGAAATACAATTAGAACAAATATATTAATCAAATAATCAATAAAATTACTTGAGTTTGTATTGATTTGTCTTTGCGTTTGATGATTTCATTAAATGCACTCCACTCGCCTTCAACATTGTCCAAATCAAGCCAATTGGTAGGAAATTGGAAACGTTGTCTTTCTAAAATTTTCTGCCCTTTTTTATACAAGTCAACTTGTTTTTCCCATACTCTCATACTGCGCTTTAATGATTGCACATATGTTATAAATGATACCGCATCAGATGTACTTGCGGCTTCGATTGATTGTTTTTCCATATCATTTCTAGACTATAATTGTTAATTGGTTAAATATGTTTTTCCTTAAATAAAATTGAATACTAACTTTAGCCACTTGAACATGAAATTGTGTCATACTATTGCCAAGTAAACCTCCAAATTTATTTAAAATTTCTTTATGCCATGAATCATACTTTAAAGCGACTTTACTTTGAACTTTTCCATATTCTATAATAAATGGTCCAAGATCTTTGCGAGTTTCAGTTGTATCAAAAGTTTTACGAGATTTTCTAAAAAAAAAAAACCATATATACAATACAATTAATAAAATAAATAGAAATTATATTATATTTATTTATAATAATTTTTACTGAATATCATTTAAGTATGTCATCCAAGTACTTATGTCTTCTCCCATTTGGTTATATAAATTATCTGCTTGTAAATCCCATAAAGATTGATAAATTAACCATTCAGACATGTATTTTTCAGCCTAAAAAAGAATATTTTAAAAAATATTCTTAAAATATTTAAGATTGAATAATTATGAACCTCATTTATTTTTCTTTCCATTGCTTCAAATGCTGCCATTAAAACAGTCTCACCTGATGGGAGATTGGCTAAAAGATCTTGATATGTCTGTGATGTTGGTTGATCTAAGCCAACTTGGTATCTAGAACTTTGTAATCTAATTTGTGACGTTACTACAGCTTGCCACGCAAAGAACTGTTGCATGAGTTGAACGCGTGCCTCACACAAATTTGGATATAAATAAATAGTTTGATTGGTTATCCTGACTTCAAGTATTTGTACTTTAATTTGGGGATCACCACCAAGCTTGTTAGTCGGTTGAGGTGGTGCATCAGTATCCATACTTAAATCTTTCTTTTTCCCTTCTAATGCTTCGGTCCAAGCTTGAATACCTGCTTGAAGCCTTGAAGATAAACTTTTTTCAATCTACAAAAATAAAGTATCAAAGTAAATAAAATTCACTATTCAATTAAATTACTCAAACTTTAACCTGTTGATCCAAACGTGTAACCCATATATGTAAATTGGAATATTGCCTTAGTGATAAATCATCAACTGCTCTTTGAATTTTAGTAAGAATATCAGCTAAAGTGCTAGCAGAATAGGCACAAGTTTCTAATGATTTAACATCTAAATCTAGTTGTTCTTCAACAACTAGAAGATCTTCAACTTTTTCTTGAAAAGCCAATATCTGTTCTGCATATTTTTGAACATATTGATCAAGTTTATAGCTTTCCCAGACCATTTGAACACCTTCAGCAATAAGGGCTTGAGTGTCTTTATGCAGTCCGGCTATTAATGGTACAATAGTAATTTTATCTTCGATCTACAAAACAATAAATTTGTAACTTTTAATAAAAGTATTTCTACCACAAATAAGGACATATACTACCTTTATATAAGAACTCCTATTGCCTAGCTGATTAAAATATAACAGTACAGATGTAAATACAAATGTATTCAAAACATGTAAAAATTAATGTAAACATTTAAATCTTACTTTGTCTAAAGTACATTCATAAGTACGAACACTTTCACGCAAAGATATAGCAAATGGATACAACTGATTTGCTTGATGAGCTTTATTTACGATAGCTAAGGGTACCCGAAATCCAAGATTTTTTAAATGTCGTACTTCTTTTGATAATGTAATGATTTCAGGCAAAAAATTCACCTAATATAAATACAATTAAATGAAAAACAGTAAATACATTTTTGTTTAAATAAAATTCTCACCCTGAGTTTTAATACATTTCCTCTACCAGTTCGAGATCTTGTACTTTCAATGGTAAAAATTCTTCCAGATACACCCATATTCTTTTGTTGAACACCTCGAGCCCATTCGTCAAAAATATCTTTTGTATTTAATTTCAGACGAAAACTATCACCATCAGCTTTTAATTTTTGACCTTCCAAATGATCTTCCCATCCTTTTCCTAATAACCAAAAATAAATATTTTATATATATATATTTTTTTTACAATTATCTTTTTATCATACCTAAGACATCTTCTACTCGTCGTAGATAAGCAGATAACTGACTATCAATTAATTTGGCCCATAAAATAGAACCAGCTATTGGTGGTATATCTTCTTGTTGGCTTAAAAATGAAGCTTTGCTCAAGGGATATTGAGTCTAGAAAAATAAATTTAAAAATAGTGCATACATCATAATGCATACATTTTTAATATATATATTTTTAAACAAATTTACTTTGAACTTATCATGAAGAGCTTCAATATCTTCTTTAACTTTATTGATAAGTTGAGTTTGATATTCTCTTATAGCTCCACGTATATGTGGTCGCACAAATAGAGCATTAAATCGAGAAAATATGCGGAACATTTCATTGGCATTACGAGCTGTTCCTAATTGATCTCTAAGATGAGCAGTTATTCTAGCTTCAACCCTGTCAATTCTTTCTTCATAACGTGCTACAGCTGCTTCCCAAGCTTCAACACCCTCACGACTAATATCCAAGCAATCTACCACTTTTATATTTTCATAAGCTGAATTAACTTCCTAGTAGTATATTTTTTATTATTACAATTTATTTAAAAGTACAAGGTATAGTAAGTCTATAAGGTCTCATCAAATTAAATAATTTGTAAATACCTCAATAGCACTTGTATCTGGAGCAGGTGATAAAGAAACTGGACCTTGGTCTTGATCATCACGTACTTGTGATTGTTGAGCTGTAGGTCTAAGAACTCTCATTATAACTGCTTGCAATTGTTCATGTTGTTGTCTAAATTTCCTCATATGTTCAAGCCTAGTCTGTAACCTTTTATGATCTGGCTGTATACGCCAAACTACTTTGAATGTCTCGTCCCTTTTTCTTTTAACTACATCCCTAAAATCAGTCAAGAATATTAATATCTACTGTATTTAAACCATTTGAAAATATTAACCTCAAAATAACTTGAAGTTTATCAAATTCATCATCATAAGCAGTAAAAACATTAAAACACTGCAACATAACTTTTTCAAATTCATCATATGGTATATGCATTAAAAATCTAGTACCCAAAACCTAAATTATTGTACGAAACAAATTAAATTATTACTATTATAAACCTTGAAAAATTAAACAATTCTCACTTTTAATAGTTTTGATAGTAAATCTCTAGAAATAGCTTCAACTAATTTTAATAGTTTTGGTAAAGGGTACTTGGTGCTTCGTATTTTACGTAAATGAATAAAAATATGTTCAATAGCAACACGAATACGATCTAAATCTGTAGCAGCTAAAAGATCATTGATAGGAAAATCTTTCATTAATGTATTATAATCATTGACAGTAGCTAAAGCAGTCTTAAGGCCAGTATCACTATCAAAACTGACAGTGGCATGAAAACGTTTGCCGTGTTTTAAAATGTCCAATGTAAGGCCAACTTCTAAACTTTCACGTTTTTCTTGAATACGATGCAGTGCTCTTTCTTTATTTAACCAAAAACTCGTTTCTTGTAAAGCTGTTCCATTTAATGGATCTCGATCTAAATTGGTCACCTAAAATATAGAATAAAATATAATAAAAATATTACCTAACACATTATTTATCTAAGTAAAATTATTATATTTAAATATATATATATATATATATTTACCTTTTGTATTTCTTTGATCCAACGGTTAACACCAGACTGAAGCTGATTGAGAAATTTAGAATCCTCCACAAGTGCTCCAAAGTCTGACACTTTAGGTTTACGATTTTCTTCAGCACATTTGCTTATTACAGATAATACGGTAGGATTTATGGTCAATGTCACTTCAGGAATATCAATATTCTGTTGTAAATGAAGTAAACCCATTTCTAATTCAACCATGGTCTTTTCAACTGATGGGGCCATTTTATCACCATCCCTAAAAACAGTAAATTTACAACAAAAATGAATGAACAATTCAATTATGTTTAATTAAGAAAAAACTAAAAACTGTTAATCATAATTCTCTCAACATTAAGATAATAATTATACCTATCAGCTCTTCCGGATTCTTTAACATAACTTTTGAAATATGGAGTGATAGCTTTACTAACTAATGCATGCAATGTTTCATATGGTGAACCATCATTAAATTGGATAATTCGTAGTTGACTCGGGATTGGTTTATCAGCTTCTATCACTGTTGCTCTCTTCATAAATGATAAACTATAACAAATTAAAAATAAAAATAAAATTCAGAAAAAATAAAAACTGACTGACCTAGTCATTTTCTGGTTTGTAAAAATGACTTCATTAGATAAATAAAATATAAGTGTATCTTTTTCTTCGTCTGCTTCCCCTCCATTTTCTGTCTCTTCATCTAAAATAACATTAAGTAATTTGTTTTAATTACAACTCACTCTGTAAATAATATTGTAGAATATTAACCTTTAAGAACTGCTTTTTGGACAAATATGGTTGAAGTATTTGGGTCTGATAAAAACTTTTTAATACATTCAAGATTAGCAGAATCATTAAATGCCAAGTCCACCAGAGAAGTAGTAGCTGACTTGTCACCGTGAAGTATGGTGGATACTGTTTGCTTTAAATAATCAACAAACACGGCCACGTCCATTATGGACAACGAGTTGGTCGTGTTCTCGTCCAACGACGACAAGGCATTAACAGTGCCACTGTCCAGCGATTCCGTCATTTTTTCTGTAACACATAAGACCACCTATGTGAGGAGAAATTGTGGAGAGAGATGACTCTTCCAGGATTCGATAAATAATTAATAAGAAATTTAGATACCTGCAAAATGACCGGAACAACGCTGTCAGAAAAAAAAAAATTGAATAAAAGGGCCGGTGTTCGGGTTTTCACATGATGGTGATAAGAGGGGAAAACCAATTGCTGGAGTTCGCGAAATAGACCGTTCACACACTACGGGTGTCAAAAAACTTCGTTTTAAGAAACCGGGCTCGGACAGCGTACAGACGACGTCATAGCATTGGTACGAACGATGATTTTCACGGCGAAATATGCTAATTATTCGGATGTATTTTGAATGACGATTGACGAGCAGCAAAATATACGGCATACAGATACGGAGATAGCGCAATCCTACACCACCACTTTCACGTACATAATATCTAACTATCTAAGAAAATCCGTCAGACGACCACACTGAATACTGATTTGCCGATGCACGGTGGATTCGAATTGTCGACAGTGACGCCAACGCAACAACCCAACAGTCCGATTTCTCGGCCGCGTCGACCGCCCAACGACCAACCACAGTAACATTGTTGATATTCATACCTAATGTAACCTTACCACAATTTTGATATGAACATTTTTTTCTAATGCGTGGGATGAAATGTCAATATAATATTAACATTAAGAAATCGAAGCTAATTGTTTTGCAAATACGTATTTAAAATAATATGTGATTTTGTGCCAAGGAGGCCCGGATATAGGGAGTTGTCAAAGCAGTTAATACGGTTAATGATCATTTATAGTATTTATCATTTGGTCAAAGTTAATTAAGTATTATTATCTACTGAAGAAATATTATAATATTATATACAGTTACTAATATCAATGATTATACACACATATATATTTTATTATTATTATTATTAACACATAAAATCAATAGTGGTCCATACGGACGAAAATAAAACGTGCAAAACTTATCTCGATAATAATGTTATAATAAATGTATAACTATCGACTATTTTAGAAAATGTATTTTTGTTTTATTTTAAATGCAAACTGTTGATAATCCAATATCATTAGCTTAAACGTGTACGGTCACACGTGTACCTATGTTAAATGTGCGTATTATGGAAGGTATGCAAGTGTAATTTATTATTGCCGATTGAAAAAATTGACAATTGTATACATAAATGCGTTACATTATTGTCAACGTCCACTTATACAATTGTCTTCAATTTGTATTGTTTTTTTTTTTGTGTACCTACCTGTGTGTATTTGTATGTGTGTGTGTGTGTGTGTGTGTGTGTCACATAATTATTACAATATTTTTTAGACTCAATACTTATGAAAAATAACATTAATACCTGTACCATAATATATTATAATCATATTTTTTTTTTGTGTAATTTATTGTGTAATATACTTTCGGCAAGAATTTTGTTGGCCATTCATTACATTTTTTTTTTTCTTTGTCAAATAAATTTATAAAACTGGAAGTGAAAATATAGGTAAATAAGACGTCCATGATTATGCCGTGTTTTTGGAAATTTTTATTCCCAAACAAAAACAAACACTAAATTGTTTGATGGCGGACTGAGCCGAAAGGAAAGGCGGAAAAGTCCGCCCGGACCAGGATTATTAATAATTTGGATAGCTACGTACATCAAGTGCAATTTTGTTTAAGTATATTGTTATGAATAAAACGTATTTCAAATTTAGATAATATAATAAAACTGGTTTGGTATTAAAACAGAAATCATAAAAACGTAGATACCTATAAAAAAAAAAGTACCTAGTTCATATAATATTTCAGAGCGCGTTTATCGAGTTCAGTGATTAATAAATCTGAAATTTATTTTCCATAACTAGACTAGGGTAAAAATGGTAATCAAAAAAAAAAGACAATGTGTATACTCTGTACTTTTAATTTTTTTTTTTTTTTTGTTTTCCCCCGACCAACCATTAATTTTCCCACCAGAAAAGTTACTGTAGTTAAAAATAAGTTGAAGAAAGTTTTTAGTAAAAATAAAAATAAAAAAATACACATACAATCAATATTAATCAATATTAAAAAATGGTTCTATAATAAGGCATCGGTAAACAATAATAATAATACACTCATTACTATTATAAAAGTATAAAATGTTATTGCTATTATTGTAAATTAATAATATAATTCATAACACTTAATGTTACTGATAATAATATTATTTATTATAATAATATTTATAATATAATAATTAAATTGCCTCTTTTTTTCCGTGGATTTTTTTTCGGTGGTTTTTTCTTTCTACATTCGGCAAAAATGATGTGTCTAAACCTAACCATAACACGTTATCAGCGACCAACAGCTAACGGCTGTACATTAATAGCAAGTAATAATACCTACTCTTAATCAGTGGCAATAGAAAGCACTTTGCCATTTGTTTTTATTTCGTCTTTTGAATTACATAATACATTTTCAAAAATAATTAATAAACTATTTTAATTGTAAAATGAAGAAAATTAAAATCAAAGATTAAAAACCCCGTTTAAAGCGAAGCAGAAAAGTGCCGTAAAAGACGAACTGCTGAGTTACTTGAAATGGCAAGAATCAAAGGATGTTTAACTTTTTTAAAATTAAAGTAAGATGTTAGATGTTTTTATAGAGTATTAAATGCTAGCTCGACTCTAATTATTATTTTTTTTTTTTATAGATTTATATTTATTAACTCCTATTTACCTAAATATAGGATAATTTACATTAATAATATTATACCTTAAAAGTTGGTAGGTATTAAATTTTCACTGGTTAAAAAAAAATGTTAGGCCCCTCATATCGTTCTCCACCCGGACCAAAATACTCACAGTCCGCCCCTGTTGGTGTCGAACTTGACAATCCAAATCGTTGTTCAAAATTATTTTCAGATATTGAAGGGCCAATTAATGGTCTCGATACCTATCGTAGTACAAACAAATGAATTTCCAGTACAGAATATAAATATTTTAAGGTTGGAAATATATTTATCAGGTATTTCCATAATATAGACTATAATATTGTTTGGGTTTAGATATTTTAATTTTTTTTCTAGGATCTTACGTTTATAATATTATCACTAAACTATTTTAAAATATCTATTTAAACAGGATAGTGGTACCTATAATATTATAATTTTTTTTAAATATCTACCTAATAATATTTAAATGTAATGATATTCATATATCTGCTTACTCTAATTCTTTGTGAAACCGGAAATTATAATTAATAGGTAGTAAGCGCCTGGAAACAAAAAACGATGAACAAAATATACAATGCATTATAATACAAATAAGACATCTATCTATGTATTTGAAATCCTAGTTAAAACGATTTAGGTGGCAAAAAAAAATATTACCAAATTCATAAGCTATAATTACAAAGTACACATTGTGTATTTAAATATTATACGTAGGTACCGTTATTCATTAAATTCTGCTGTAAATGTTGTGAAAAATCTTACCTACTAATAATTCTATCTTGTTTCTTGTATATAGAAACATAATAATAAAAGGACAGACATACTTCACACGTGGGTACAGTCACTGTTGTAGGTGGAAAGTTGGGAAGTTAAGATACAGTTGGGAATTTAATGTACATCTGTAATCAACGATAAACCATTGCTAGTGAAAAACCGATTCTGAGCGAAGTTCGGTTAATAGTGTTGCTTTGTCAACAATATATATGTCATATTATGGCAAAAATGATTACAATGTGCGTTTCCATGACAACAATGATTGTATAAAAAATATAAAAATAATAAAAATTTAAAAATAACAAAAAATAAATAAAAAAAGTTGCCAATGACAATCTTATTTTTAATATTTCAATATTTTTTAATCTAAAGAACCAGGTTTTTCTAATTATCTCGAATATTTAGATTTTTCAAAAAATTTCAGGAGTATCCTGTAGCGATACCAACTGTGGTTTTTCAAATGAGAACCTTTTTTTATTTTATTTAAAATAAATAAATTTACAATCTGTATTAAAATAAATACAACAAGCAAATGTGAAAATAATCATACAAACTAGACTTAAGAAATTGATCGGGAAGACTATCCAGTGATTGGTCCTTTTTAGCGAGTTTCACTAGGTGAGCAGACGGTGAATTTAATCTAAAAGATCACGACACAACGTCTTTTAAGATGGTTGAGGAGGGTTGCCGGAAGTTGAGTTGGTGTGCTGATTTGCGATTAAAGGATTTAAATGATGGATTGATTTATAGTGGAATTTTTTATAATGGGTTTCAACTAAATTAACAACTGGTTCAATATTTAAGTATTTGTGAAAGGTGAGATTAGAAATGTGTCGTATCCATAGATATATAAAATAAATAATTGGGCTAGTAAAACAAAATATTCCCGGGCCGGTTAAAATTCATATTCTGCCACTGGTAGTACATCTTTCCAATATTTATCTTACCCAAAACTCCCGAATCTTTTACTTAACAATGTAGAGTAGTGGTGTGCTCAGCTTTTTCCTATAGAAGGGGATAAACTATATTTTGTTTTATTGAGTCATATACACAAATTTACAAAATGTATACTTATTGGTATATGCCGAGGTATTTTATATCCAATAATTGGTTATGTGCAAATAACCTATTATTAAATTTAGATATAACTTATTTATTACCACACTATATAACTAATTCAAACCAACTAGGTATAACAAGCCTGTGTATTCATGAACACGAATGCTCGAATCCAAAATCTTGTATATGTTAAACTTCATTAAAAATAGTAAAATCTTGTAAATACTTGAAGTGTGCCATAACCTCAAATGGCATGACCAAATTAAACAGACAATGATAAAACTAAGAATAATAATCTATGCTTTCAACAATTTAGCTAATTTACTTGAAATTAAGAAAATTAGAATTGTATACCAAGCTCTAGTAGAATCCATAATTAACTATGGTATTATTATTTGAGTAGATGTTTATGATACAACACTAAATTCATTAAAAATAATAAAAAAATAGAATAAAAAAATAACTTTAAAAAAGAATCATTGGTATCACACAAAATATCTGTACAAAGAATTAAATGTTCTACAGTTAAAAAAATTGTTTAATATGACATATATATTGTTAACAAAACATCACTATCAACTAAACTCTGTTCAGAATAGTTTTTTCGTTAGCAATGGTTTATCATTGTTTACAGGTATACATTAAATTTGGTGCCTTTACCAGTGACTGCACTCGACCCCATTTATCCTATGACAGCTTTTTTTATACTAATAATTTAAACTTCTTTTTTTCATTTAAAGGTAACTTAAATATTGACAATTGTATCCATACATTTTTAAGTGCCTAAACAGTAAAATACCAAAGTTATTTACACTAGATAGTAAGAACTGATTTTTTTTTTTTTATCTGAAATAAAGTCTAAAT